TTCTCAACTGGGGACAACTTTTGCTTCATGGGAACTTTTAGCAATGTCTAAAGACATTTTTATTACCCTAATTGGGAAGGTATCTGATAAAAGATGTTACTAACATCCTACAATGCACTGGAAAGCCCTCTATAAGAAAGTATCTGATTCCAAAGGCCAGTAGTGTCAGTGCAAAGAAACCCTGGCTTATGTCAAGAGTGATTCAGTGTTTCTTTGAATAATCTTATTTCTGAATTTTGCCTTACAGAGTTGGTCACTAACCTCCCAAAGGATTAAAGAAGATAAAAATAAGTAGCTGTGTTGTAAGCTCAGTTTCAGCAGAAAAAAAATACAATTTTGCTATTTGCTCGTTTAGATGCTCTTTGCACTATAAAGAAAGTATCTTTCCAGCTAGATACAGTGGCACATGCCTGTAATTTAGTAGGAGGTTGAGGCAGCAGAATCACAAGTTTGAGACCTCGTCTCAAAATACAAAGTGGGGGGGGAGGGCGGCGGATGTAGCTCAGTGTGAGGCTCTGGGATCAATCTCTGGTAACCACAAAAGAATAAGCATCTCTCTTGGTACAGAACTGTTTCATGTCATTATTTTAAAAAAAAACAAACAAACAAAGACAAAATAAGAATTCACTTATATGTATAAAATGGCAAGTGGGCTGTCTCTGGACAAACAAAATAAGAATTCACTTATATGTATAAAAATGTTTTAATTGTTTGTATTTCCAATATTTTTTCCATTTCTGTTTTTAATTCACTTTGCATTTTTCTTCAAAAAGTTAATTATTCTCTGCTTATTTTGTTTTTATGTCATTTGTTATTTTTATTATTAATTTCTATTGTTTTCCAGGGGCCTGCCCCCTCCCCTAATTCTTGATAAAAATTTTAAGCTTCTTTGTTTCCTCTCTTGGATAAAAATTAAAGCCTACATATTTACTTTTAAATGTGATGGGTATGATAGTACTTCATATAAGGGAGCTGGGAAGGATTTGAGTAGGTCTGATGTTCGTTTCATCTAGTCTGTGGACAGGTATTTGCTGAGTACTTACCAAGGACCAGAAACTATATTCAGGTACTTACAAAGTGGATAATATATAGTTACTGTTCTCACTTAACTTACATTCACGCCACTCATGATATCCTGTAGTGTGGTCTCTGATATCCAGGGATCAAAAGAAAACTCAGGCCCATTCACTGGAGTCACATTGGGTCCCTTCCATTCCCCCTCACCCTGATTGGTGCATATTTCTTCACATATAAACTCTAAAACACTGTCAAGGCTTTGTGGTAAAGGGCTTGCATAGCATGCTTGAGACCCCAATTTCAATCTCTACCATCACCAAAAAATAACATAATGTTTCCTAAATATTTATAAACACAACTGGATCTTCATAGTATGGTAAGTGAAAGAAGTTGTTCAGACCTATATTTAGAGTTTCATTGTGTTGAACTTGTGTGATTTAGTGAGTTAATACAAACTTGTAGGTAGTTTGATAGGTCCAGAGACAGCCCACTTGCCAGACTTTGTCTGCTGATCTTCCTGATTACTAAAGCTCTAGCATTGTAAGCTACTTTATCTGAAATGATCCCTGTCAGCCCTGCTATTTTAGGAAGATTGCTATTATTCTCAAGTTAAAGGTTATCTGCGGTAATTAGGTACCTTTTATGTTTCTGGCCCTAAAGATACAGCCAGATGTTTTTGCTGCTTCTTAGTTCCATTTTGCCTATACTGTAGTTCACACAGATGTTTTCAAGATTCTTTCCTAATATCTAGGTATTTGTTTTCCCATTGTATGAGAAGAGTTACAGTTAAGAGCTTACACTTTTATTTCCTGTGTCATTTTACCAGAATTCTTATTTTTCTGCTGGCCATGGTACCATTTAGAAGGAAGAAAAAAGGAAGTATTTCCTTACAAAGCTCTGCCAGAATCTGGCTATATATGTGGGCAGAGCAGCATTTCCTCAAAGGAAATGTGGTAGGTACCTCAGCCAAGTGTCTCCTCTGCGCACCAACATCCAAGCCGGTAGCACTGGCTTTGCTCTTGTTATATGATGCTGATCTTGTGTCCTCCAGCATTTGCAAATTTGCTCATGCTTTCTTGCTACTTTAAAATTGACTATATGTTTATTATAGACTGGTCTAAGTCCCCAGTGTTCTCTCTCCTGTTCTGAAATAATACAAAAGCATATTATTTCAGATGCTTCCAAAATATTTGTTGAATGCTTCTAACTGCTAAGAATAGACAAATAAGTGACAATCCTAGAGTTTCTATTCTCTTGAAGGGACAAAAAAAATTACAGTACTGTGTTGTAATCACAGCACTGCATGTGTAAATCAAAGTATGGATAAAGTGCTTTGGAATCTTAGAACCTTGAGCAACCGCTTTTTCCTGGGAAGGTTGGGAAAGTCATTAGCAAAAAAAGAGGAGAGGAGAGGAGAGGTCTCATTCCTCTTCATTATTTATATCATACTGCTCTGCTTTCCCTATCCCAATAATAGCTGTAAAGTAAACAGTCTTCTTAGGTATGAAAATGATCTAGTGAAATTCAGGAATAACTAGATGTTGTATTTGTACTTTTTAAAAAAAAGATTAGAAAAGCTTTACCAGTATATAATATTCAGGACTATTATATATGTAGATGTAGGTTCTACATTTTTAATTGGGTGTATGTGTGTATAAACATTTTTTACGTGTATATGTCTACGAAGTGTGTACACCAGTGCCATGATTGTGTATTCTTCTAATTAGCCATCATTTAGGCATAAAATAATTTATAAGTACTATACTCTCCGAGGTGCTACTTGTAAGCATCTTCACAGTTTTATTCAAATGTACTTCTAACAGCTGTAAGATCCCATAAACTGTTATGATGTGTGTTCCCAGTATTGGTTCATGCACTGCTTCACCAGTTCAGTCACTCAAGCCCAAAGCTCTTCCTTCTGCTGCCCTGTCCCTCAGCCAAATCAGTTCATTAGTTCTAGGGATGCGGGAAGGGGGAGATCCTATCTTTCAAATATATATCCCTTCCACTGTTTCGCCATAGACCTCAAGCCAGTCTCCATCATCTCTCAAAAATTGTCAGTAGCCTACTTACTGCTCTGGGTTTTAGAAAGCTAGAGTCATTCAAGAATGCAAAGATGGTTTTAACTCCCTCTTTATCTACTACATAAAAATTATGCTTTGTAACAAAAAACATTTCATGAACAAATCCAGGTGCTTCTATCCACAGGTGGGCCATCCATTAATGACTGATATGGAAAGGTGATTTCGGCTGCTATTCAATATGCATGTTTAAGGACATGTTTGTCAAACTAAATGTTGAGCTAAATGGGTCATGCAGACCGTGTAGAGGAAGATATAACTGGCTGAAAGTAATGTGTGGCCTTAGCCACACAGTAACTTTTTCTTACAAATACATCATGAGGAGTGGTCTAGATGCTGAGAAACAGACAAGTAACATATGCAACAACTGCATGCTTTTTAAACTCAAATGGCACTGGTGTCAGTCATATCTCATTATTGCTTACTTGTTTAGTATTGAGTCATTTCATCTTTTCAAGGATGTGACCAAAAATTCTATTATTTAGAAGTATACCTGTACCAGAGAAGCATCTAGAACCACTGATCTAGCCCTTGCCCATGTCTAACCTCATACCCTGCTACCATATAAAACAACATTTTCTCTCTTAAGTGTCGCTTCCAAGCTTCAGCACAAATGACCTTCTTACTCTCTTCAGACTTTGTTCGAGACTTAACTCCAGGCATCACCTCAACTATAATGCTTCTTCCAAGCCCCTCAATCTGAGGCAGTAAGGCACACCTCATTTGTGCTCGCATAGCATCCTAGGACTGCTACCACCTTCTCATGTAGCACTTAGTAAATTATTCCATAGCACTCTACACTCAGGCCTCCTGACTCCTTGAGATCAGGAACTGTGTTTGTTGTTGATCTTTGTATCTGTAGTATTTAATATGGCCCTTGCAGGAGTGAATGAACTCTGACCCATGCCCCATTTTTTCCTTAAAACAGCATTCACTACTTGTGAATGGAAAGACAGATGCATAAGAGAACAGCACAACCCCAATAACAGCATCAACAGTTGCAACCATAGCTATTTAATGCTGACTTTTGCCAAGCCCTATTCTAAGCCTCTACAAAAACTCCTTATTTCTCACAGCAAGCCTCCCAACCTTCATTTTACAGAGGAGATAACTGAGGCACAGAAATGCTAAGCAGCTTGCACAAAATCACACAAGTAAAAAGCAACAGAGCTGGCTTCAGAACCTTTGTGCTAGAAAGGAAGGGAACTAAAGTGCTCCTGGCAACATAGAACTAGATGAAGAATTAAAGTATCTGCTACTTTTCATTGTCCTCCTCATCTAGTGCACAGCCCACATTGATAAGGGAAACAAAAACTCAGTTATCAGGTGGCCATTAAATCTAGAATTACTGAAGAACAGAATACAGTATACATAAATTATATGCAGTTCTGTGTTTCACAGGCTTGCAAATCCTTCCACATTTCTGAAGGTAAGCCTATCCAAAAAAGACTGCCTCTGAAATGCAAATCCTCACAACCTCTGGTGGGACCTCAAGAATTAAGTAACAGAAAATGTAATCCTTAGCACTCTTCCATTTTGCAAAAACAAAAACAAAAAAATGGGTCATCAGCAATAGAGTTATTCTTAAAGTTCCTTTAACAAAACTATGAAAAGTAACAGTGATTTGGGAGGAAGAGAGGGTTGGGGAAATTGGCTATTCTTCCTGATTAAACTTGGTCTCCCTTTTCATTGTATACTTATCAAATCTGTCTTTCATGGAATAATTTGATAATTATAAAACTCTTTCTTTTGATATTTAATGTACCTGTAATGTTTCATAGCTTGGAAATGTGAGTCTTGACTCTCTGGTTATAATGATAATACAGTGCTTATGACCACAGTTAATGGGAAAAAAAATTTTGCTTTTTTCTTATCCTTAAAATTATTTCATTTTATCTTCTAGGAATTTATCTCACTAATATCTTGAAAACAGAAGAAGGCAACCCTGAGGTTCTAAAAAGACATGGAAAAGAGCTAATAAACTTTAGCAAAAGGAGAAAAGTAGCAGAAATAACAGGAGAGATCCAGCAGTACCAAAATCAGCCTTATTGTTTACGAGTAGAATCAGATATCAAAGTAAGTAGAATTACCTGAAGATACATATTTCTAATTAAATTTATTAAATTCTTGATAAAAACCAGATTTGTTTTGTAGACAAGAGGAATAAAACTGAAAATAACTAATTCAAGTTTTCTTAAAAGTTTTCATAAACTGTTTTCATGAAGTTCAGACTAAATTTAAAATATTCACTACTAATAATTATTTCTTTGCATTTATTTAGAGGTTCTTTGAAAACTTGAATCCAATGGGAAATAGCATGGAGAAAGAATTTACAGATTATCTTTTCAATAAATCTCTAGAAATAGAACCACGAAACCCTAAGCCTCTCCCAAGATTTGTAAGTGTTCATTACATTTCTTTTACATTTATATACTTTCTGCACTTGTCGTGTACATCTGGTATTATCATCACTACTGTATCTGTTATAGATTCATTTTTTATAAAGGTATTCAGGATGAAATATACATGTGATAATTCTAAATAAAGTGTGCTTAATAAATATACTCAGATATATCACACTTGATTCTAAATATATGAATATTAACTTGAGTGAATCCCAACATGACAAATTATGAAATTCAATAAATATGTAAGTTATTATTTTTGGTTTTAACAAAAAGTTCAAGATTTATTGTAAGGACAGAAAGTTTAATGAATTTATACTAATTCATTTATATTTACTTCAAGCTTTTTAAGGAAGTGATTTATTAGAATTTTTAACCATGACTCATTTGCCATATCAAATTAAATATGGCTAAAAAATACTTTCTTAAAACATTCTGTTGTTATGTATTATTGGTCAGTGCCTGGCTAAGTTTATGGAATAGCATCATCACCTTACTGATCTGAGTATATTCTCTCACTGTTAAAAATTTGAAGAGGAAGTAAACATAAATGGCTTCTCAGTGATCAATATAAATTTCATCATGTCTGTGAATTAAAGCATATGAAATCTTCCTCACAGGCAAATTTTTCAGGCCTTAAAACACTTTTTAATGAATAAAAACAGCAAATTAGAAATATACATCTAAGGGGCTGGGGGTTTAGCTCAGCAGTATAAGCACCTGCCTTGCAAGCAGCAGGCGGTCATGAGTTCGATCCCTGTTACGGATAAAAAAAAAAAAAAGAAATACGTGTCTAGTCTGCTACAGTGAAGCACACTTATATTCTCCAAGGAGAATACCATAAAATTAACATGCAGATGAAAACTCAGGTAATTCGATTCATTTGTAAAGTAACTCCAAAAGTCTTAATGGCATCAATGTATTACAACATAGGTATTAATTCATAATGATTATCCTGGATTTTTTAACAGGTTAAATTTGTCCCAAAGAGCCAGGGAAATACATATTTTAGAAAACTTTCTACTCAAAAATATTAAAATCACAGATATTGTAATATTTATGAGGTAAAACTCAGTTAATTTAAAGAAATTCATTTTCTAACAATCTAGATAGCCAAAGTTTCAACAAAATGAAACCATAATAGTTTAACTTGGACATTGATTTGAATCATGTTACTTCATGATTGGTGATTTATGGTTTTCCTAGCTTTTTGTTGCATTTTATCAGCACGTAAAAAAAAATCATTCCTTTCTATGTGGTGCTTTAAGTATTGTGTTTCTTTTGATATGTCTACAGCCAAAAAAATATAGCTATCCCCTAAAATCTCCTGGTGTTCGTCCATCAAACCCAAGACCAGGTACCATGAGGCATCCCACACCACTGCAGCAGGAGCCAAGGAAAATTAGTTATAGTAGGATCCCTGAAAGTGAAACAGAAAGTACAGCATCTGCACCAAATTCTCCACGAACACCACTCACACCTCCTCCTGCCTCTGGTGCTTCCAGTACCACAGATGTTTGCAGCGTGTTTGATTCTGATCACTCAAGCCCTTTTCATTCAAGTAGGTGCTAAATTTTTAAGTGCTTTAAAGCAGTTGTTAGTATTATACATGCTTGAGGTTAAAAATAAAAGTATCTATGATCTTTATGTGGGTAAACATGTACAAGTCAGATACTATTTCAGAAGATACCAATATAAAAATGAACTCCAGCAACTTAATAATTTTTTTTAAAATCCACTCTTTAAATTTATTAGATGTTACTATAAAAGTCTGGTGGTAAAACTAGGAAACTTCATTTGAGTGTTCCAAATGCATTTCTTGTATTAAGAGGAAACAAAGGTCACTCTTAGAAATCGACCAGGAATGTCAGTCCTGTGTTTTCAGTGCTGCTTCCAAATTTATTTTAATACTACTCAATATATACTATCCTGTCCCCACCAAACTGTGCCACAACTTCTAATTTTACAGTGTGTCAAATTCATACTTCTGCTTAACCCTTGCTTAGCCTACCTTATGCTTTTCAGCAAAGCCATAGAGATCTCACAGGCTGCATATGTATATGTCTGTATCTCTCTCTTATTTCTAGACTACTGTCCCAAAAGAACAAAGGGAGTGGTAATAGAGGTTTTATTTAACACAAAGGAAGAGAAATTGCGAATTTAAGAGGTTATCTGTCATTTATATCATTTTTTTCCTGAAGAAAAAGACTTTTTTTTTTTTTTTTTTTTTTTCAAAAATTACTCCTTTTTAAACTGAGGAGTATCTTCAACAGTGGTTTCAACTTGACTGTATAGTACAGTACCCTAGGGAGCTTAAAAAGATGGCCTTGGCTTACTGGAATTAGCCACTGGGCATCAATATTTAAAAAAATTTTCCACAGGAAGCTGAATGTGATGGTGCATGCTTATAATGGTGCAGCTTTAAAGAGGCAGAAGCAGGAAGATCACCATGAGTTTAAGGCTGGCATGGAGTATACAGTGAGTTTTAGGCCAGCAAAGCTCTGTCTCAAACCCCCTCGCAGGAAATTCTAATGTACAATCAAAGTTGAGAACCATTGCTCTGTTATCTGGGATTTACTTAACAAATTAATACTACTATACTGCATTTGTTAATGAACTCATTAACAAATGGGATTTCATTCCCAAGTCACTGTCAGTTTTATCAGTTTCCACTGATGAGAACTTCTTAGCTGGGCATCTATAATCCCAGTACTCTGGAGGCTGAAGCAGGAAGATTGCTATGAGTTCAAGGCCAGTTTGGGCTACCTAATAGGGTTCAAAGCAAAACCCTATCTCAAGGAAAAAAAAAAAAAGAATCTCTAACTTTTTTGTTTTTTAGCCAGGGTATCAGTGTGTAGTCCGGGGTGGCCTCAAACTTGTACCTATCTTCCTGCCTCTGCCTCCTGATTCCTGGGATTATAGGCATGACCTACCACATCCAGCATCTGGCATATATTTTTTGACTAGATCATGTAAATATTTTTCCAGTACTAGGTACTGAATGTAGAGTGTCCACACTGAACAATATCCTCAGCTCTTTTTAAATTTTTTATTTTGAAATTGGTCTAAATTATTTAAGACAGTTCTAAATTAGACAAATTGCTAAACTGCCCAGGCTGGGTTCAAATCTATTGATCCTCCTCCCTCAGCCTTCCAGAGTGGTGTGATTACAGGCACGCCCTGTAATATCTCACTTAAGAATTTTTTATACTATTTTCCAGGCAGCAAGGTCAAGCAATTATAAAGAAATCAGAGAACTGCCCAAATTTACTAAAACCATGAACCAAAACTTGTTTGCATGTTGAAGCCAAGTTTACATCTGTACACACAAATTTGTGTGCATATGTATAATTTGTTTTGTTTTGGTTTTTTTGGTACCAGGGATCAAACTCACGACTGCACATTTGCAAGGCAGGCACTTATGCCACTGAGCTAAATCCCAGTCCTGCATATGTATAATTATTCTTTCAAAAACTCTTGAGTCTGTGCCTGTTATGAGTGTTGTGTTTTTATTTTATTCACATATTGTACTAAATAGCTTTCCATGCTCCTGAGGGTTTCTCCAGGCATTATATTTATTTCTTCTTCAAAAGTAAAAATTGTGTAACACTAGAACTAGGTACCTTCTTAGTCCCTATCTTGTCATAGATGCTGAATTGTGAAGAAAATCATTCACAGGGCAATGAGCTTCATGTGACTTGAATATAAAAATGTATTTTAATCATCTGACAAATAATGTATTGGAATAAGCTGGATTGCTACACTTAATTGTGAGTTTCAAATAAATATCAATATATATGGAAAGGAGATTACATAACAGATCATTGTAGTATGGGGCTGCCCAAGAAATCTGAGGATTATATCTTTGTAAGCAATCAAGTTAACAAGATGTCATCAAATAACTGAACCTGAAATGTAAAATTATCCTCCTCTGATCAAATAAGCCAGAATAAACAATGTCCCAAATTATTTGAGTTACTGCATATTATGAAAAATGTGAAAAGGGAAATGTAAAATTTTCATAATCACCTGTCTAGTATTATAGGACTTAATTTAATCTCTCATGCATTATTCAACCCATGTGCTGGTAATGGGAGGCATTGTAACAAATAACTCTTCTGTTTTAAAAACAGTAAAGAGCATCTAGTGTTCTCAGTTCTCCTACTTTAAAGATTTTGGCACTTTGGCTTATGATTTTCAATTTTTTCTTTAAAAATTTAGTGTTGGTGAAGTTTTTAGACATTGTAAATTTATCAGAGATTCCTATGTAAAATGTGTCTAAGCATTGAATGGATATTGATCCTTTTTAGAGTGTTTAATAAATATAGAAGGAAGAAGCTGTTTCATTTTCAAGTTTGTTTTAATGTCCAAAATATAGTTATTTTGTAATTAGAATATAGTCTCAAGAACATTCTTTTACAGATATACATTATTAGTAAGAAACTCCCCTTTATTTTTCAAAGTATATAAAATAGTTGCTTTACAAGTTTAAATTTTGAAAATAATCTTTAGTAAATGATATATTTCTATGCATCCAACTAAATCCTTCACTTGAATTGGGTTTACACATTTTTAGAAACTTCCCAATAATATAGAATAGCTCAGTTTCCTCATTAATGTTTTTCATTTAATTATTATGGTATCAAGTAGTAAATGTAAAAGGAATCTTCAGAATTCTCAGTCTGACATTAACTCAATTTTTTTTTCTTCTCAAAAATAGTAATGAGCTTTTGCTAAAAACTTACAGCATTCTTTAAAACTAGAGTGACAAAAATAACATTTTCATTATAAATTTTTACAGATAAGTTGAACATATATATACATATATAAAAAAATCTATTTTTTCTTGTTTCCTTTCACAGGCAGCGATACCGTCTTTATCCAAGTTACACTGCCCCATGGCCCAAGTTAGTATATTTGGATTAAGACTCATAATTTTTGCTTTGGCTTTAAAAATCAAATCAAATGTGACCTTCCCTGCTAAAATTCTCCTTGGGTCTGGCAGCCTTGGTACCTGCTTGCACCATCTTAGAAGTGAGGCCTTCACTTGTGCTATCCTTTGATCATAAATGATTTGCTTAATTTTATATAATTTTCATGCTTTTTATAAAACCTATTTTTTCTCTTGAAAGAACATATTAAATGAATGGCTTACACATTTAACCATTTCTCTTTCCCAACTATAGAATTCTAAATGTATTTTAATGCTCAAATTTGGAAACAGAAGCAAGAGCATGCATGCGCATATGGGAATGCTGGCAGCTACCTTAAGTGTCTAAATCACACAACATACTTAGCCTGGTGACAGCATAGACTGTAGGCAAAAATAACTGCTTTGGACTTTAGAAGGACTATCTTGTAATTGTAACTATTTAAATTAGAAGGCCTACATATTCATCGCAGATAATCTTCTGTTGAAGCTATTTGCTTTTAAACTTTCAGCTCACTACATCCCATTTTAATTATCTTAAGCTAATAAATTAACATTTTGCTGCATTTTCATGCAAATGGTTTTAAAATGTATATGATAAAAATACTAATTATAAGCTAAATTAACTAGGTAAGATAAATTTAAAAGTAGGTGATCAAAATGTTGATCATGGTAATATCAATACATGAAATAGTCTTTAAATTCTATATTGCTGTAACATTTGATTGACAATAAAAACTTAATGCTTAAAGGAATAAAAAACTTGCTAAGTATAATTGTGAGGGATTATTTCTATAATTATTTTCATATATTTTATAATATTTATAAAAGTTAACTTATACATGTGCTATCTTATATTATGCCTTTTTCACCATAAATGTCTATCAGACAGGTTTAATTAGAAGCTTTACTTAACTTTTTTTTTTGCCAGTTGACCAACTTATTCCTAAATCAGGGTTACTAGGGTTGTTTTTTTTTTTTTTTTTCATGTATCAGTGCCAGGGACCGAACTCACAACCGCCTGCTTGCAAGGCAAGTGCTTATGCCGCTGAGCTAAATCCCCAGCCCTGGTTACTAGGTTTTAGTATACCTGTAATTCCTGTTTTCATTTAGAATTGCCTCAATCATCTTGAATAGGTTCATTACAGTTATGTTTTAGATTAAATCTGTTGAACCTTATTTTTCTTACATGCCTAAGAGAGCCTCTATCCAAGTAAAACAAGACCACCACCACACCCCAGGCACTAGATTCTTTGCTCTGCATTGCTGGGGAAGAGACACTGGAGAGAATGCTTAAGATTGGATAGTTCCCCAGTAATAATTCAGTTAAAGGTAGAGAAGTTCTCTACGAATAAATTAGAGGGAAAAAATGAGCTCATCACAAAGCTTGAAAAAAATCACTATCTAAAAGATTTCCAAATTACCATTTCAATAGAAGTCTGAGAATCAGACCCAATTAAAAGTTCCAATAGTAAATTAACAGTTATTTTTTTAGAATGTTATTTTGTTCAAGAAACAAAATAACGATATCTTTGGCAGCTTTTTAAAAAAATTCTGCTATGACATTTCTGCATGTTTTTATAGAAGTTTGCTTTAATGAAATATTGGTCTGGGTCATAAAGTGCTTTTAATACTTCTATACATTTCTTTTAATGAATATTAGCAATTTCCAGCTAAGTTTTTTCAAGATTAGTGAGCAAAATAAAATTCCCATAAATTTTTTTTGGCATTTAACATCCTATAGGATCTGCTTCAGTATCATCTATAAGTTTAACCAAGAGCACTGATGATGTGCCCATCCCCCCACCTGTTCCTCCACGAAGACGGCCAGAATCTGCCCCGGCTGAGTCTTCACCATCTAAGGTAAAGTAGAAGATCTTGTTTCTGGAAATTACTATCACGGTTACATTATAATCATTGCTCATGCCTAGTTTCTTTCTCCCTGGGACAGTTAACATTTCAGAGTAAGTGTACTGAATAAACAAAGACTAACTCTAGATTTAGCATGCAGAAGGTTTTTTCTAAAGGCAGCTTTTCAGAATGTTTGCAAAACCCTTGTAAGCCTAAAACTATGGGTCTTGTCAAAAAGAAAAACAAGTTTTCATCTATAAAGTAAGGGTAATTTAATCTCAAGAAGTTCTTTAAAAACATAGGCAAAGAAAAGTGGAAGAAGAGGAACAAAGAAGTGTAAAGTTTATGTGCAAGTAGTAAGTGAAACTTTGCATATGCTAAAAGTTATTTATCTGAGTCTGTAGAGGATCTAGCATGTTTCCTCATGGGGTTTCCTGGAAAGTCTAGATTGGAAGAGACCCAAAGGGCTCCTGACTGTTTTTTCCACCTGTTTTTTTCTTTTTTTCTTTTTATACTTATTTTGCCAGCTGTAAACTTACTTCATTTGCTCTTACACTGTCCAGAGAACAGAGCACCTGGATAAGCCAAGACTTTTTTGCAGAATTTCATGAAATATGATAGTAAAACAAAATTGAAAAACTAATGGGTTAATGTACACTAAACCAGAAATTATATTTCATAATAAGCAAACAACAAAATTTTGAGAAACAAAGCAAGGTAAAAATTTAACATTGGCAAAATTAACTTTTTTTCTATGAACTGACAATACTAATTATTTAAAACATACGGCAAAACTGTTCCACACGTAGTATTCTGCCAATAGCATGTCTGAAAACCCCAAATTCTTAATACATTCTTGGTACTACATTAATTCAATTATTAATAAGTATGTTTTACTTTTTTTCTCATTTGTTAGATTATGTCTAAGCACTTGGACAGCCCCCCAGCCATTCCTCCTAGGCAACCCACATCAAAAGCCTATTCACCACGATACTCAATATCAGACCGGACCTCTATATCAGACCCTCCTGAGAGCCCTCCCTTGCTACCACCACGAGAACCTGTGAGGACACCTGATGTTTTCTCAAGCTCACCACTACATCTCCAACCTCCCCCTTTGGGCAAAAAGAGTGACCATAGCAATGCCTTCTTCCCAAACAGCCCTTCCCCCTTTACACCACCTCCTCCTCAAACCCCTTCTCCTCATGGCACAAGAAGGCATCTGCCATCACCACCACTGACACAAGAAGTGGACCTCCATTCCATTGTTGGGCCGCCTGTTCCTCCACGACAAAGCACTTCTCAACATATCCCCAAACTCCCTCCAAAAACTTACAAAAGGGAGCACACACACCCATCCATGCACAGAGATGGACCACCACTGTTGGAGAATGCCCATTCTTCCTGAGTTCCTCTTATACTGGGATGTACAATTTCCTACCCCCAGATCCATTGCTGGCAATGGATGCACTGAGTGTGCCAGCACTGAGGAGTTAAAACTTGAACTCCAAACACTAATGACTCTACTTCAAGATGCAGTATAAGACCATGAATTTTAACCTAGACGTTAATTATAAACTGAAATGGTATTCCAGTATAGAATATGTGGAAAGACTGATCTAGAAGAATTGGACAACTGATTGCACCTGAAAATCAACTGAAGGGACTTTTTCTGGCCAATATGCAAGAACCCTCATTTTGTGAAGTGATCTTTATTGCTGAAGGGATGGAAACATTATAATGTCCAGCAGGCCCACAGACAACAGTTTTTGTAATTCAAAATATTATGCACTTTTAAAAAAAATCTTAAACAGGGATCTTACTATCCTCCTCTGTTTTCCTTTGCTTTACTCTTCTACTTTAGAATATTTTCTTAAAAATCATTCAAAGGACTGTGAGGAAAGGCTGTGGTACCTGACCTTGTTGAAATCAAGGCCCCAGCACTGTACTACAGTCCTGTTTACAGATTATTACAGTGAACTGAATGGGTACCAAGGCTTCACCAAAGAGGTACTTTTTTGTTGTTGTCGTCATTGTCGTTTGAGGAATAATTATACCAATATTAAGAACATTCCCTACCTACCCCCTCACACAAACAGTATGTGGTGTTGCCTTCAAAAAGAGAAGTTTTGTGTCATTAACATAATGGAAGAACTTTTTTTAAAATGTTAACCGTCAAGTGTACATTTACATTTAGGAGACTGTTAATCTACACTAGATTGTCATTTTCCCCTTTCCCCCCCGCAAAGGGTTACTGGTAACCCATGTCCTGGCTCATAGCTGTCCCTCTAACATCATTACGGAATTGTAGGTGCCCAATGTGGGAAGGAGCACTTGCTGGGCCTCACTGAGAGCATTCATGTCTTACTGACAGTCAAGTGATCAGCATCCCTAGAATTCTCTTGCATTACCTAAATCATGTGTATATAGTGAATGTTATGTAATATACCTAGCAGGTCTGTTTTAATTTAATTAAATAAAGATACAAATACTTTGGCTGGCTGGCATATATTAAATTATTATATGAAGAAAATGGTCGGTTCTTATTTCTTTCAGTTGAAAAACAAAAACACTAAGCATAAAAGCACGTATTGTGGTACGCTTTGGTTTCTAGTTCAGAATATATGTATTAATATTAAAGAATGACCTAATGCTGCAGTTTGGCATATAGGAAAATATCTGGTTAAAGGAGAATGGGTATCTTTTGAGCGGAACTATAGGTTTTTTAATTTCTTAAAGCAATGTGTGTACAGTTTGTTAAAGGTTTATATTGAACATTCTACCTTGCTTGAGGTCTTCTGCTCTATCACAACTATTCATAATAGAACATCTACCTACATCATTAATATAATACAGGTTATTCATAAAGGCTATGTACTGCTCTCCTGAGTCTAACAAATATTATGACTGAAATGCATGCAACTTACTAAAGAGAAAAAGTTTTCATTAATCTCCACTGTGTATGTGAGATGTGCAGCATCCATCCTTAAAGGGGCATCAGCTCATCAGTTATCTATCTGCATGTGTCCTCTGAATAATGAAGCATCATTTCAGTAATTCTGTTAACCATGTCATTAGACACATCTTTAGAAGTACTACATTATGGTGGAAACCTAATACTTTAATAATTTCTGTGATATTTATTAAAGCATTAAATGAACATCACAGTAGTACAGTATATAACCCTTTAAGAACAGCAAATATGTAAACTACACCATCGTTAAGCAGTCCACCCTATTATAACCTTTCTTATTTGTTAGAGTTGAATCTCTTCTAGTGTCCATAGCATTCCTGTTATGATAATCATTTTTCCTTCATAAAATGTCCCCTCTTCTGAAAATATTCTTAAAAGTTAATTATAGGGGGTTGGGGATTTAGCTCAGCGGCATAAGCGCCTGCCTTGCAAGCACGTGGTCATGAGTTCAATCCCTGGTACCGATAAAAAAAGAAGGTTAATTATAAATTCCCTCTTGGTTGCAAAGTATCCATAAGACCATTCACTCAACAAGTATTTGTGTGAACATACTGTTGCTGCTACAATTTATCAGTACACATCCCAAAATCTCCCATGACGTATTGGGCCAGCCTACCTGTCCCCATGGTGTCCCTTTTTATGACTTTACTAACCACCTCTTCTAATTGTTCCATCCCCACCCCAAATAAGTACTTAACAGAAGTCACATTAAAGCCCATTCAGTATGTCTCTGGCTAGTGTGCTAGCCTTCATTAAGATGATGATTCTTTTTCAACCGGCATGACCCTACACAAAGGGAAAACCCAGATTTGGAGTTCTAATCATCTTTCTCCCAAAAGAGACCATTCGTCTCCCCAGTGGCTCTAGTAGACCACTTCACTGTGCAACAATTTTAGGGTTTTTGTTTTGTTTTGTTTGAGACAAGGTCTTGCTATGTAGTTCAGACTGGCGTTGAGCTCACTGTAGCCCAGGTTGGCTTTGAACTCACAGTGATCCTCCTGCCTCAGCCTTCCAAGTGCTGTATTTATAGTCGTGCGCCACTATACCTAGCTGTGCAACAGTTTTATATGTATTGTGGATAGAGAGGACATTTTTATTCTGATGTGTGATACGTAAGCAAAAGTATTTTCTGCAATTGTAACTGATTAGAAAAATTCCGATTGGATGCCCTTAGGTGGAGGTAAGAAAACTGTGTCCTTCTTGTCATGATTAATTTGTCTCAGACTAGCAGACAAATTTATCATTAGTAGTAACTGAGCTATACCTAATGAGGGATAAGGAGTGACATAAAGTAAATATATCATCACAAAATTCTGCCCTGGGATCCAGGACATTACAAGGTAGTCTGCAGCATGACTGTGACCAACCACATTCCAAAGTGTGGAACATTTCTCTTAAGAAATAGAAATATTTCTAAATGTTTCATTATCTTTGGATCACAGAATGAAAAAAAAATTTCCAGGCTGAATGTGGTGGGCTAAAACCAGTAGAACAGAAAGCTATTTACATTTAACCACTTCAATAAGGAGAACAAGTAAGTGTGTCTCTAAATTTATTGGCAAACCAAGATTATTTTTCCCAGGTCTCAAATCTATTTTAATACCACTATGATCAGGAAATATACAAACATCAAAAGTTTGCTTAATTTAAGGTTGTTGAGCATCAAGTTATGTGTTTAGTGTATTACTAGTCTCTAACAACTCTAGTGATACCTTAATAGATCTGAGTTAAGCAGAGAGCAGACTTATACTAACAAGCATAATCAACAGAACAGTCTAGTATTATCATTAATACTATTTCATTTGGAGGATACATTATGGTTCTAAGTTCTTAGTGTTTATTTTAATAAGCAAATTATTTGATACAAACCAAAAATTGCATAGTATTTATGATAAAGAACTTTTAATTCTCAAAGTTTAGCCGGCTTCATTTTTTTTTTTTTTTTTCGGTATTGGAACTCAAACTCAGGATCTCATACATGCCAGGCAGGCATTGTGCCACTGAACTATATCCTCAGCCCCATTTCATTGTCTTTTTACATGACAGCTTAAATTCAGATTTTTAAAAATATCTCAGCAAAACAAACGTGAGAGTTGTCCCAATCAGTGTTGTACATATTGAGGAAATCTTTTTTTCCTTTAGATTCAAAACAATTTAACCAGGCCAGGGATACTGCTTAAAGGGCATAGCGCCTGCTTGGCAAGTGTAAGGTCCTGAGTTCAATTCCCAATACAAAAAAAAAAAAAAAAAAAACCTAACCATTTATTTCTTGATATTCTGCTGCTGTACGTAGGTTTATTCTTTTGGCCTATATTGTGTGACCTTTGTGCAAATGTAGGTCTTACTGTATTGCACATAAATCTTTACTGGTAAATATGTATCACAAAGTTAGTTTGGCTGAAAGAGAACTATGCAGTGAAATTATTTATAAGGGAAAGTGGTGACTTTATTCAGTTTTTTTCTTTTGAAACATCTCATTACTTTTAAAATCATTTCATAATCCCTTATACATGAGCCAAAAATGTTCTGAGCTCTAGTTAAGAAAAGCATGAAGTCTATGTGATAAATCTTAAAAAAGCACTTACAACTTTTTTTCATGCCTTATTTTCCATTTTGACACCGTAAAGTGCATTTTCTGTCAACTGTGAGCAAATTTCTCTTTTGCCTTTAATGAAAATAGTGCATTAAGTAGCCAGTTGCTGCAAAATTATAAAGCAAGTTAGCTACAGGTGGGTCACTTTGGACCGACTACCACTTGAAATCAAGATCCATAAAAAGAAGTTACATGTGGTGCGGCTTAGAGAGTGCACCTGTGCCAGATGCATGCCACTTTCAGTAGCTGCCAAATGTGCCTTTAATTAAGAACATCTCTTAATTTTTTCTTAAGATCAAGTCAGCATTTGGGGGTGGGATTAGGGCAGGGAATTTGGGATGCAAATATCTGGTGAAACCACCAGAGAATTTGTTTGTCAAAGTGACATGTATAATTTTAGTTAAGATGTGTCTGTGTATATATGTGTATTTGCCTTTGTTTAGTAGCACAGTTATTGCTAAAATTATTGTCAAAAAATATGCTGTCAGTGTTTGATGTAAGAACAAAGTGTGGTCTATACATCTAATATGACCTTTGTACCTTACCGTGTTCGTAGGTAATCTTTGTACTGTGTGCAGCAGTATTTGGTTTGCGTTTCAAGTGAAAATAATGGCTGTTATTTTTTCTGGCATTACTAAGATAAACTGAAAAAATAAAGAAAAAAATGCCTTACATGGCCCACAAGTGTATTATTTTTGCATGTATTTATTTTTTGAGGGCAGTATTTTAAAAGTCCTTAAGTGATTATTTAGCTCATACTTTCCAAAGAAAAATATTTGGCATTTTATCATGGTCTTTTGGGGGGCACTTTCTCCCAAAATAAGTTAGTCTAAAAGGATGAATCAAGTTTCCTATTACCTTCTGGGTCAGACCCTATGATTGTAGTTGGGTGGGAGGGCCTAAGGATGAAAATGAGTAAAGTGACCTTGGGTGCGCTGGGATGTAGCTTGAGAGGCCTGAGCCAACTGTATCCAAACAAGTCTCAGATACCACAGTTCTCTGACAGGCAGTTTTTGCAGCTGCTGGAATGAGGCAGATTGAGTTTGCAATTTGTCTAGATTTGGCATGAAAATATAAGAGCTTTAAGTTGTGTCTAAATTACTGTCATTCAAGGTAGATTATATAATGTAAACCTGATGAATCCTTAAGAGTTCCAATCCTCTTATTTAAAAACAGAAGCAAGGGGGCTGGGGATTTAGCTCAGTGGCATAAGTCCCTGCCTTGCAAGTGTGTGTTCGTGAGTTCTATGCCTGGTACCGATAAAAAAGTAAAAAGACAAAAAAAAGAATAAAAACAGAAGCACGTGAGGCCTGGAGAAATGACATGACGGAGCCAACATCATGTCGCAGTTAGTGACTGAGACCACAGACTCAATGTGATCCCTGGTATTTATAGGACTGCTCTCAGGAATATGTGAATTAACTGGTGATTTTTTTCCTAGTTTAAACACATGAAATCATGCATTTATATAGATTTATTTGACTAACCACTGTGAAATACAAGCATGCACTGTCAAGTATACTCTAGGTAATGATTTAATAGCCATCAGCAAATAACATTAACATGGATATAAATCAAACTTGTTTCTGTATTTTCTTTTGAAATGTTACTGCTTTTGAGTTTTAACCAGGTGATTTTTTTTTTTTTTCCTTGTTTTAAACATGTTAGGTCATCACAGTTCAAAAGCATTTGTATCTCAAGAACAGGAATGTTCCTGTTTGGCCAGCCCCAAAGCTGAGGCTGCCTTTCTGCAGATTTGATAGAATAAAATTCATGGAAGCCTTATGACCATTTCTAACATTTTAGGACTCTGACTGTTGATACTTACTAAAAGCAAGAAAAACTACACACTGTTTAGAATCTAATTTCTCAACCTTAATAACTGCTCAAAAAAGCATCAATGAGAATAAGCAGGTTCTTTGGAATTCTAATTGTTTACCTGCTCCTTCTCCTACTACATGAACAACTTTAGAGTAGTTATTTAATCTACTTTTCATCAATACAAGGAGAGCCATAAATATATGTAGGGTTTTTTGTTGTTGTTGTTGTTGTTGTTGTTGTTTTTTTTGGTATCAGGGATTGAACTCACAACCTTGCGCTTGCCAGGCAAGCACTTAGGCCACTGAGCTAAATCCCCAGCCCTATATGTAGGGTTTTTATGGGATCTGAAGGTCATATATATAAAGCACAGTGCCATTCTCTAAGTAAATGCTTTACAAATAATAAAGCCATGAAGACCTATTTTCAAAGTTTGCCTCATTTTAGATAACTTTAAACAGTTCATTGTTTATCCTGAATTTGATTCTTTATGCCTTTCTTTGCTGTTTATCATTACTTAAATTTGTTTTGGGAAAAAAAAAGGGTTTGAATGACCTTAGGTTATCTGACTATTCAACAGTCAACAAACAGTGTTCCGGTCAGTTCTGATGTTAGGAATACAGTAGTAAACAAAAGTCCATTTCATCATGGGATTTGTCATTTAGTGAGAAGATACAGACAATAAGCAATAAGCATAATTAATAGGCCTATTGCATATTAAAGTGTTGTAATTGTTATGAACAAAAACCGGTAAGGGAATATAGGATACAAAGATTAAATTACATGGAATGTCAGACTGTATCTCATAGAGAAGGTGGAACATAAAGACTTGAAGTGAAGGAATGAAACATGCAAGAATTTGAGAATATACCAAATCACAAGGAGCAGCCCATTCAAAAGCCTGGAGGCAAGAGCATTTGTGGTGAATTTATGGAATGGGAAGGCTACTTGTGTTAGAAGAAAAATGAATGTGGGTACATTAGAAAGAGGTGCCATCAGAGTTTAAGGAGGTATGGATCACTTGAAGCTTTAAAAAAAGCCCTTGTAATGTCTCTGACTTATATTCGAAAGAAACAGTCCTTAGAGAATTTGAGCAGAGGAGTGATGTGATCTGATTTATAGTCTGGCTACTGTGTTGAGAAAAATGAGAGATTAAGAACAGGAATACTGCCCGGCATGGTGGCACACAGCACTTGGGAGGTGAAGGCAGGAGGACATCCGAGAGCTGGAGGCCAGCCTAAACTGCAAGGTGAGACTGTCTCCAAAACAACAACAACAACAACAACAGGAGGCCAGTCTGATTTAAAGTGTCTTGGACCACAGCAAGAGTTGATGAGAAGAAGTTACAGTACGTATATATTTGGAAGAAAGTCAATTTGCTGGCAGGCTTGATGAAGGGTAAAAGACAATTATCAACAGAAACAATTGTCAAGGATGACTTCAAGGTTTTTGGTGAGAACAAACGAAGATAAAAGTTACCATTAACTGACATAGGGAGGGAAGATATGGCTGAAGAAGGATTGGACACATTAAGTTCAATAAACTGATCATACATCTTGAGAGAAGTCAAGGAGACAGAAATATTAGTCAACTTAGAGAAAGGGGTTTAGGCTAAAAATACTATATTTGAAGTCACTTTGAAAAGATCATATTTCAAAGCCAACAGACTGTATAAGATCACAAAGGAAATAAGTATAGACTGGAAAAAGAGGAGCATAAACAAAAGAGAGCCCTGGCATACTCTATTATCCAAGAGTAGCATCAAATATAACAAGAGAAAAACACCAATGAATAATGATGAAAACCAAGGATATGGTATTCCCTTAAGAGTTAGTAAAGAAATAATTTCAGAAAGAGAAAACGATCCAATGTTACTTCTAGGGATAGTAAGACGACAGAGAATGGACCATGTGTCATTAATGACTAAGGAGTTCGTGAAGTAATAGGAGCAAAAGCCTGCGCCTATCAGGTGGGCTGGGGGTGACAGAGTGTTTGCCTAGCACATGGCCTTTGGATTTGATCCCCAGCACAGAATTTTAAAAAGCTGCCATGCAGGAAGTAATGTGGTTGTTTCCTCTTTAAAATTTTACAATAAAAGGAAGCAGAGAACTGGCACATAGCTTGAACCATTAAGAAAGAGGTTTCTCATGTCTTAAAGATGAACAAATAAGAGAATGTTTGTGTGCAGAAGGTCTGCCCCAGTAAAAGGAAAATGTGATGAGGAGAGTTACTGCATGGGATCTAGTATTAAGTGGAAACAACCTACTCAGAATCATAGATGGTATCTACGAATAATCCTTTGGAAAAGATCCCACTTCTTCTGAGGAACACGTTTATATACATGAGAAAGAAATCACATTTAATGTTACTGTGTCTAAATATAATGAGGCAAGATAATAAAAATAATTCTTGTATAGATAAGGAACAAGTTTAGAAAGATTATGCACTAAGCTCTTGGAAAACAACAGGTGTTGGAAAACAAGCTGTTTGATTTGGGAACAGAATATTGACTACTTTGAAATCTAACAACTTCTTTTAGCATTGCCCAAACTCATACCTTTATGTTCTTATATGTTCAAAACTCAAGTCTAGTGTCACATACCAATTTCCTTTTTCCCCTATAATATGTCTCCACAAATTTCCTCCACCTTACTTCAACCCATGTCCCCATTTTTTTCCATCTTTGAGAAACTATCTCACTTCTCCTGCTCCCCCCGCCCCAGAATATGAGACTCACTGGCTGTGCTTAATCATTTCAGGATATCCAAACCCCAACTATCCTGAAAGCAATGCTGTTTTAGGGACACGAAGAAAGTTATTAATGGTGATGTTTCAAGAAAAACTTTACTCTGAAAACTAGTCTAACTTCACTATGTAATTTATTGTAAGACATCTGTCATTTAAAGGGCATTCTTTCAAGTCCCTGGAATATACAATTTTGTCAGTTTACAAAATGAATTTATGTATATTTTCAATTAAAATTTTAGTGTTTCTGACAGCAATGCTCATTGACAACAAATTTAAGAACACAAAAATAATTCAGTTGGGCTTTGATGAATTATTAATTTTCTGTATCTCAAGCTAAGTCTAATTAATTATTTATTCTGTCATAAAAAGCAACCTAAGGAAGAGACTGAGTAGCCTAATTTGCATACTAGATCATCTCAATTTATTGGTCTAAGAGGTAATAGCTCTAAAATTTCACTGGACTCTGCAAGTCAGCACCATGTGCAGGCTGTTGTGGGAAGAACCAGATGCCAGCCTTTTCCTGTGCATGGGCTGGCAGACAAGAGCCAAAGTACTCCCCCTTGTCCCAAGCAACCAGCTGATCTGGAGAAACACAGGCTTCGATGATAGCTACTGAGGTAAAATACAGCTTAATGCTTATAGTGTTTAGTGTTTCACTGACTTTGTAGGTCGAAAGCTGGTAGTCTGATCATGTTCAGAGGATAACAATACACAATGCAGCATTATGGGGGATCTCCTCCTGTAGGTGGTAGCCTACTGTTAATTCTGTTATCATATTTTGAAGTCTATCATTTTCATTGTTTTGTCTGGTTGGGTTTCATTCCATTTTGTCTTATTTGATTCTATTATATCCAATGATATGAGCAGATCACAGATAAAGATAATAAGCTATATTATGGTAGCCATTTTGGATTTACTATTATCTTGTTTTGAAGTCCTTTATTGCATTCATTGTTTTGTTTTTATTAGTTCTAGCCTATTCTGTTTTATTTGATTTTTACTATGTCTGACGTTATGGGCAGCTATCTTGAAGACAACAGGAGGCATGGTAAACATCACTGATTTCCTATTACCTTGCTTTGAAGTCCTATATCACATATACTGTTTTGTTTTGATTGGCTTATTGTTTTATTTTACTTGGTTTTATTCTCTTTAGAATAAAAATTACAAAAAAATAAAAATAAAATTTCAGTGGACCAAACAAAATCATCTGAATGCATTTAAATTTTAGGTTCTGGATCCCTTCCTCAAATATTCCAATACAATGAACCTGAAATAGAGCCCAGGAATCTGCTTTTTTTTTTTTTTTTTTTTGGTACTGGGAATTGAACTCATGACCTTGTGCTTGCCAGGCACATGCTTATGCTGCTGAGCTAAATCCTGGCCCCAGGAACCTGCATTTTTATAAATGCCCTCAAGGACAATATGACATATGAGTAAAGATTTGAAGGAGGTAAAAAGATCAGATACAAGATGTTACAGAAATCACCATTCAAGGGCTCGGGATAAAGCTCAGTGGCACAGTTCCTGCCTGGCAAATGTAAGGTCCTGAGTTCAATTCCCAGTAGCAAATAAACCAAAACAAAAACAAAAACACCATTCAAAGGTTTCCCTGACATGCTAATTACAAGTCTCAGATTAGTTTATTTGTTATATGTTGAAGTCGCCCACTAAGGGAGAATCATAGAGCATTTGGTCCACAAATCCCTGGTTCTCAAAGTTTCTAATTCTAAAGTAAGAGAAACAAGATAATCCTTGCTTCAGCTTATATGGAAATCCCACAAAGTTATAGAAGAGACCTGCTGCAACCCCAATCTGTGTAAAAATCTCCATCTTTTTGTGGAGTGTTTCTTTCTGCTTATCAACTCAAGCACTTCCCAAAAACATCTCTGGTCTTCTGTGTATACTGCCCTTCTTGAGAGGACTGGAGATCTCAGATGTAGCAACTGCCAATCTCTTTTCCAACCCAACTTCTTTCCTAAAGAAACATAACATTATATACCATCATCATCACTAAGAATCCTATCTCCCTTGTCAATTACAGAACTACCATGGGAGATTATAAAATGAGCCATGCTAACAAAAAATAGCAACTTTTTAATTGAAGAGATGTTTTCTACTGCTAGGTGCCATCAAAATGGCAGTGGAGCCTTTAATTGCTTATGAAGACAACTGTATTTTATTTCCTTTGTGATTTCTTTTTCTTTTAAAAACGAAAATCTTCGTCAAATTAAGGATAGAAGCCAGCCATGGGAGTGCATGTGTGTAACACCAGCACTTTGGAGGGTGACACAGGAGCACTATCATGAGTTCAAGGTCAGCCTGAACTACATAACAAGACCCTGTCCCAAAAAGAAACAAACAAACAAAAGGAGTATAGAAATTAGGCATGAGGGGTGTAGCTCAGAGATACAACACTTGTTCATCATGTACGTAGGCCCTGGACAAGCTGGCACTGAAAATGCTGACACTGAAAACAAAAACTAGAACTTATTTTCTATAGCCCTATTAAAGTTGCCAATCAATTCTCGAGTTCCTACTACTATGAATTCATCAAGAAGTAAAGGGGAATAAAAAAGGTATGGAATAGTTCTTGCCTTTGAAAGGAACTTGCATTCTTATTGAGGAAATAAAACAAATACATCAAAAAATAAGCTAGTAAGGGGCTGGGGATTTAGCTCAGCGGCATAAGCGCCTGCCTTGCAAGCAGGCAGTCGTGAGTTCGATCCCTGGTACCGATAAAAACAAAAAAGACAAAAAAAAAAAAAAAAAAAAAAAACTAGTCACACCATAAAAGCTTCCACACCATGGAAGGTCAGGGGGTTTAACTGGGGCTTCAGATTAGTAAAGAGGAGGCAGTTAGAGAAAAGGCATGAGTTAAGAGTAAACCTGGGCAGGATGCCTAGCTTATGAGGAAACGGTAAAAGCCAGTTTAGTTGAAGTAAAATAGCTCACCCAAAACTGCATTAGATGGTAGCCAGAAAGAAAACTAGGAGCCAGGGGCTAGGGATTTAGCTCAGCGGCATAAGCACCTGCCTTGCAAGCAGGCGGTCGTGAGTTCGATCCCCGGTACCAATAAAAAGGAAAAAAGACAAAAAAAAAAAGAAAAGAAAACTAGGAGCCAGACGAGAGAGAGCCTTAAGTCAAGTGAAGTGTTTGGAATTTGATGGCAGACAAGAATTTAGTAACATGGCATTAATCTTGAAGACCTATAAGCTGTGGATGAACAGACAATAGTTGGAGATAGAAAGCTACCAAAATATCCAGCTATCAAGAGCTAGGGACCCAGAGTGGCAGTACTAGTTTCCATACATAGGTTAGTTTCATAAAATACAACTAAACTGAACTGTACTACTATAAATTTGAAATATCAAGATATTTTAGAGGATGCTATCAAAATGAAAGTGTGTGAAGTTATCTGATATTTGCAGTAACAATTTTGATGATAAACAGGATACAGAAAGGAAGAGTCTTACTGCTGTTTATATTTCATTATGAGGTTATGACTTTCCATGTCCAGTTGGTCTGGAATTGTGCTTTTAAGCACTGTCCCAAAACAACTTTGGCTTAAGAAAAAAGAAAAATCTGAGGCGGGGGATTTAGCTCAGTGTCATAAGGGCCTGCCTTGCAAACCCGTGATTGTGAGTTCGATCCCTGGTACCGATAAAAAAAAAATCTAATTCCATTAATTGCAGAGAAAGAAAATGCTGGCTTAAACTTAAATTTAAATACTGCAAAGTCCTAAATCTTGGCACAGTGATTTTTATATGCTGTAGACACTTACTATTTCAAATGCTAACAGATAGGTTCCTAATTAATAATCTTACAAGGAGAAGCTCTAACACATAGAAATGAAACTTCCCTTATTTTATCAATTGCACATTCATAAAGGAATAGCACTTCTAAAGAAATCCACTTGAAAAATAAGATTCTGAGTGAACAGATGTCAAATACCTCTCATTTATTATAAGTAACTATTTGGGAACAGAGACGAACAGTTTAAAGCTAATTATTTTGTTATGAATCTGAAATTTGAGGTGACCATCTGGGCTAACACATTTTATTATCCCACAGCCAGGCAGGTCCCCAATAGCTGAGCTGTAGGAGCTTTGTTTCTGTGCCATATCTGGGCACTGCAGAGATCAGGGTCCTGCATCCCCTGAGTTTTCATTCTGACCTAGTCTTTGTAGCAACCATTATGTATGTGCCATTGAAGCACTGGTGCTGTCACGACTTTCTGTCTGCATTAAAGAAAGTCTTTTTGAGAGGATGTGGCTGTATCAATGTTTTTTCCTGGTCCATCTGGTCATGAGTTTATCAGTAACACTCAGGATCACTAGTGGATCTTGAATACTGAGTACTCAATAAAAGAAAGGCTCTGGACTGCTCTCATCCTCGGCACAATCCACATAAAAAAATGCTTCTTTGCCCCATCCCTGTTTCTAAAGAAATCATTGTTCTCTTTAATGATTTCCATAAACACAGAACACGTTTGGAGATCAATGTGTCTTTAAGCTTTAAACCTTCTAACCTGTGATTTAAGCACAATTTCTCCATAATTCAGAATTGCAACATTTAAAATAACAGTTCTGTTCATTGATCCTTTGCCATAAGGCATGCTATGTATTGCCCTGGAAGTTCTGGAAGACATATAGTCAGACACAATGGCCCCTAACATAGTATTATATTAGTCTAAGCACACTAGAATGAATTAATAAACTAAATACCTAAGCAGCACAAAATTCACATCCACATTAAATATGAACATAATATTATACTTGGGGAATGACTTCAAGGTGCAAATTTTTGTTCTTATAAACATTTATTTTTTCCTCCAAATTTATTGTGTTTCTCTGTAATGATGTCAAAAGTCTTCATTTCCCTTTTACCAAGTGTTGAAGTTCAAAAAGTCAGGTCTTAACCACAGACTAATCTTCAGCTCTTCAATGTCTTGTATGTTGATTTAGTTTCATATGTATGTATATTAGTTTTCTTCAGGGATTTATACATCAATATATGTGTGTGTGTGTGTGTGTGTGTGTGTGTGTGTGTGTGTGTGTGTATATATTCCTACACAGATATATACAAGGTTTTTATCCTCATCTTACCACTTGAGAATACAACTTTAAGTATGTTTTACACAGCTGTTCCTTGGTCAAGGTCATTTGCAAGAGCAAGTCGGTTTCTGAAGAAATCTTGTTTGGTAGGTGAAGGATCCATTGAGGGATTCTCATTAGTTTTTTCCCTGTATTCTGATCCACTGGACCTAAAATCTCAGCACACAGATAAAGTACAGGTTGATTTGGTTTTAATTGTTTTCATATATTTTATCTATCCAAATTGTTTTGCATTTGTAAAACAGTTGTCTTTTAGACCTAGAAAAAATTTTACTCCCCTAATTTCAAGACTCAGGACATGTGTATCTAAGATTTGCAATAAACACAAAGAGAACATCTTTCTAATGCTTTATGAGACCATTGTGACAACTGTAGATGTCAGTGTAAGATACTGTGTAGTAACACTGTAATAGGGGAATAACAACCCAGAAAATTCAAAAAGTCCTATTGTTGATTCAATGAAATAACTACTGCACAAATTTCCATAGCCCTTTAGTTAAAATGGAACTCATTATTCTCAATCAAGATTATAAAAGGCCTTTACTGAATCTAGGCATCACATTACAAACTCTTGCTTCTGCTAGTTTTCATTTTTAAATGAAAGATTTATTGAAGCCAACCACACATATATGCTACATTTAGTAGAATGCAGAAATAAGTACAGTAATCAAATTGAGGAGACACTAACATCTCAACCACCACAAAGGAGACCAAAGCCAACCAATAGTCAACAACTCAAATCAGTCCATTTGAGTCCCCAGTCGAGGGTGCATTCTTCCTTTATCTTGGTTAAGGCAGTTGGGTAATTCATTCCAGCTCTGCACCTTCTCCAGTTTGTTCATGTCAGAAGTCCCTGGAGGGAGGAGGCTTTCTGGAAATAACCTTTGATAAGCTAGACTGAATCCTTTTCACCAGCTTCAGTTCTGCACTAGAATGGATGAAAGTAGCCCAACAACCAAGAACCAATCAAACGACCTCATAGAGGATGTATGAAAGCGATGCTAGGATGTGAAGTTTTTGTCCAAAGTACCTATAAAACTGAACATGTTCTACATATGCTGAGCCTGAGTTAGGTATGCTTACACTGTACCCTTACACTGCAAAGAAGGATACTTGGCCTCCAAAATTTGTCACTGTCATTGGTATGCTCTCATTGAGACCTCACTGTTATTTTTAGCTATATGACTCTACCACTTGTGGGATTAATTGGGCAGAATCCAAACAACCCTTTACATTATCCAAAGAAAGAGGCTGGATCCACACAAAGACTAATTATTATGATATCTGGACACCTGGCTGATTGACCAGATTATTTTCACTTTTCTTCCTAGTATTTGGTATCACAGATGAAGCCATAGCTGCCCACCATGCTTTTACTTCTAGTGGTAAGGGGCACTTCACTGCATCCCAACAAGCAGAGAAAAAAAAACCAGTTCTCTCTCAACTCCAGTACATCTGGGTACTCATCAGGTAAGATGGTACATGGGTGGGGTGAAGTCCTTTTGTAACAGACTGTACATGCCCTTCCCTGAAACTCCAGACCTTCTCATCTTATCCTGCGCAACTCCTGCCTAACTCCGATTCAAATCATTTCTGATTAGTTGTACCCAAAATGTTATGGAGATATACTTCTAACCATTTCACCTTTCCCCGGTATCTTCTGTTTTTCAGAAGACTAAGAATGCCTTTACTTTCAGGAGCAGGAAGTAGGGAATAGGATTTAAACTGGACTGCTGTTTATTCTAAATTGTCCCCCCATGACAGTTTCTCAATAGAAAGTTATTAATCAAAATTTAAAATCTTCACCTCACATTTCCCCTCTTATCTACATCTGATCTCTCCAAAACCCAAAATGTTATACTTGATGATCCAACATGCAACTGTTCAGCGTTTACCTGGAAATGGGAAAGCTTTGATGTCACCACCAGCCCCAAGGACCACAGAAATCTTCACCAGTTGTGTTCCCATTTCTGAAACAAATGCCAAAATCGCCCTGTCTAGTTTTTAAAGTACACAGACTCGGCTTAGTTATTTTTTTTCTCTTTCAACTGCTCTTTTCACAAATTGTAACTTCCTTGTGTCTCCAGCACCTAAATGTTTCTGCATTTCTTTAACTATTAACTAATGTCTAACTCACTAATCCTTTTCAAAATTCAGCATTCTACTGTAGCCTTGACTAAAAACTCATTATCATCTTTTTAAGGGTAATTTTAACTGACCGCTTTATAATACTTAACATAATATATGACTACCTAGGCATATGGACTCTTCCACAGGTGTGGCTAATAGGCTCTAAAGTAATGCACACCTAAATTACTAAGAGAAAGGCACAGTGTATTTGCTTTTATTTCCCTTCTCCATAAAACACAGAAATGGCTTCTAAGCCTCTAACGCCACCCTGGCTGACTGCAAGGCAGAAGTGAGCAGACAGTCTAGGGACAGACAGGTAAACACTTTCTGGAAAGTGTACAGTGGCTACAAGTACAATTGGACACACAGCAATCCCAGAATTTTATGGAAAGAGGAAAAAGGACCAGGTTTATTGCTGATTTTTCTTCCATTCAAGTGACAGAGACAAAGAAAATCTTAAGTTAGATAGGTAAACATATATGGATTTACTACAGATAAACTTGGAAAGATTGTTTGGGAATCAGGGAAGGGAGAGGAATGGAATATAGTACCACAGAAGTCTCTGACTTGGTTTTCTGACTGGAAATATTATCCTCCTTGAAAGCTTCAGGAGACATGCATAGGAAGAAGAGATCAAGGGTGTAGGGCAGACACCTATCCTCTTGGCCATCAGTCAGCTCTTATAATCAACAGAATGTCAAAGGAACATTCATTTAATAAATATCTGTTGAGCACTTACTATGTGCTATGTACTAAAACTTGCAGCTGAATTACTTTTATATTGAACTATAAGCTCCTAATGGACAAAGACTATTTTATTTTTTTGTACTAGACAAAACCTAGTACACTAAAGACCCAGAATGACTGATTCCAAATAATACATAAACATTTATAATCAAGATTATCCCTCCAACTATGCCCTTCAATTTTAAAGGTATACAGGAAATGAGTTATGAGAGAAACTAAAAAGAAGGTAAAAATGGAGGAGGGACTTCATATGGGCTTTAAGGAGGTAAGGAAGAATGTAAGGATAGAATCATCAATTGATTCTTCAGTCCTCTTTCTGCTCATGGTCTGTTTCATGGTGAAGGTTGGGCAGATACAAAAATAGTTGAGAAGATACCCAAAAAAAGAGAATTTACTGACTTATATGGATCTCTGTAAATGTATTTTTTCAGTGTGTGACTAAGAAAATAGAATCTGATATATCTGATAGAGGGATGGAAAGAGCGGGAATGGAAATATTCTTGAGGCATATAGATTACAAAATGCTAAAAAAAAAAAAAAGAGAGAGAGAGAGAGAATCAAGGAGGAAAGAGAACTGATCATTTAGATGCTATATTCTTTATCTCCTACTTCCCCCCAGTTTGGGGATAAAAGGAGAAAGCAGCATTTACATTTTCTATCCCTAAAGTGTCTTACATAATCCTCATCCCCACTGCCACATTCCCAACCAAAAATACACATTTACCCAAATGCAAGATTTATATATAAAGTAGCATTTGCCTCAACCTTCACAATAATCTAGGTTTAAGTCTTTGACAGTCTCCACATAGATCCTTCTAGAAGGGACAGTTTGCCTTCCATCCTACTCATAGGCAAGGGAGTTAGTCCAGCATCAGCTTTTCACATTAGGTTTGTTCCTAGCTTCTATGAATCTTCATTTAAAATGTTTAAAGTCACTTAATATTTTCAAACTTTAAAATGTGTAGACTTTATTCTGACTGATTGTGGATAGCTTTCAGGGACATATGTCTTGGTATTTACCCAGGATAACTGTGCCTGAGGTAGAAACAATCAGAGGGTCACCCTTTTCCCCAAATATCCTGGGCTTTTCAGGAATTTTTTTTATGATGTCAGCTTGACTCTCCCTTTTGAATCCTTGTGGGAATGAATATTCGGCCCTCCCAGCCTCAGAGGGAAGAGAACCCTTTCTCAGGTTTTCTGTTGCATCTGGCTCCATGCCTAGCTTCATCCCGAAGCAGCATTCTGGGTGTGTGGGGCCACCAGCCAAACAAGCCCCTATGGAACAAAAAGTGTGTCAGTGTAGACAGGAATGAGCCTCCAGAGGGCTACAGGGAAGGAAGGCAGTGAGCCCCAGACATGACACAGGCAGCTTTTCTGGCCCTGGCCCATTTGGAACTGTGAGCCCAGGCTCCGAAGTGACTCTGACACCCAGGTTCACTTCTTGAATTCACTGAGCTTGCCACTTGTCTGACTACCTGGCACACAAGGGGAGAATAGGCTGAATGTCTCTTTTTGGCTCCTTCTTATACCTGACTCCAGAGTACATTCCTATGTAATGACTGGACCATATCATTTATGATCTTAAGCAAGTATCCAGAACAGTGCATGCATAGAAGAATGGTGTATTCTCACCCAAGCTGAAAGGCACTAGCTCTCTTGCACTATTATGGGACCTCTCTAGCCTTTCTCTCTAGAATACCATATTGCAATAAGGTCTGTTATGAACTTTTCATGATTACTGGATGAAAACACTCAGGATAAGTTACTTAAAGCTGCTTCTTTATCCCATCAAAGTGTCCAAAGCACTCTTTCCGGGCTGCACTCCCAGCATCGTAAGTAGAAAGCTACAGCACACATTACTTAATGATGCTAACTATTCAAGGCCAGACCAATGAAGCTAAGGAAGCCTGCCAAAGGCAGACTCCTCTTGCGACTCCGCCTTTACTTTCACTCAGGTAAGGCTTAAGATTTCAAATACAAAGGAAGTGCCAGTATTGTTGACAGCAATATGACTACACAGACCAACCTATGAGAAAGGACAGAAGGCTAAGGGAATCCACTGGTCTTTTCTCTAAGGAAAATCCCAGAATGCTGCTAGAGGATTAACCAACATGAATTTGGAGATCCCATAGCAGGTCCTCTGCATTTTACCAAGATCTGATAGGGAGAAGAGGGCTACAGAAAAATGAAACCTGACCTTCCACATGATGAGATTTTAAAATTACAGGTCCAAGGCCTCATTCATTGCTTGTATCAGGTGACCAAGGAGTTATGATCACTCAGAGTTACAACAAGTCAAACTACAGATAAAGCAAATCTCCACACTAGAATAGACTTTAGAGATTTCTTTAGTAAGCCTAGGAGTCTCTTATAGCATCCCTGACTACAGCCACTATCTTTTACTTAATAGAATCCACTCTTTCATGAGGTAAACAGTGTCAATTCCAGAACTCTAAACCCATTAGCTCTGTTGTCTGGATACAGAAAAGATAAGCCTGTTCTTTCTTCCTACCTGGCAGACCATGTGTTTACATCTCTGATAAACAAGATTTTCTTTTTTTAAACAGTGCTGGGGATCAAATCCAGGGCCTTAAGCAGGTTAGATAAGCTCTCTTCCTGTGAGTTTTACTCCCAGCCCCAAATAGGAATGTGTAATCAGTGGTAGATCTATTGCTCACTGTTTTACAAAAGTATCCAGTCATTAAGAACGGTAGTGGGCAAAAAGTGGCTGTTTATTTTGGGACTATACTTCAAGAAACAAGGCTCAAGTAGTACCTTAAAAGTTTAGAGTCCTTCAAAGAATTTAGGAGCCTTCAAAACAGGATAATAGGAAAAAAAAAAAAAAAAAAAAGAATTTAGGGGGCCTAAACCCCAAGTTCAGACTGAAAAATTTTCTGCTTCTAGGTCCTCCCACCCTTTAAAACTTGACAGAAGTAGGCAGTAGGCCAAGAAAGATCTAAATCTATGATCCTAGAGAGAGGTATATCATTGTCGACTCTTCAATCCCTGAATATAATGGTTTGAGGGGCTAGCAATAGTCATGCGTGCACGGAATTGCCTTAGCAAAACTGAAAGGGCTGTGACTGACTGCAGAATTGTGCTCTTCCTTCCTCTTTCTTCTAGTAACCACAGCCAAAAGACCAACAATGAAAGATCCCCTATTCTTAGCACCACCTTCCCACGGGAGGAGATCAGACAAACCGTACCAAAAAACCAAAAACAGTAACAACAACAACAAGAAAAGCCAGTCAGTACTCCAGGCTTACTTTAGTTCTTCTAAACCCTTTATCTAAATCAGCCAACACCTTTACTTTTAAAGAGAAAGTGATTTCTCAGGAATTCTCCAAAGACAGCAATAAGATTTTATTTCACTTTTCTGTCCACTATATGAAGACTTATTATTTTAAAAATGAGTGCAAGAATCTCTACCAAAAGAAACTAAGAACACTAGCAGGCACAGTGTCTTCAGGCAGGAGAGGTAGGTCTAAGGACAAGTGGAGACAATGACAGTAGTCACCTGCCAGCAGTGACCAAATGAGCAAATCCCCCCATGGGCAAGCGTGAATGCACACTTTGGCCCTGCCTGCCAGACTGTAACACAGTGCAGTCCAAAATGCTGGATGGGTGATGTTGCATACAAAAAATGTCTCAGATTCTCAAAAGGGCACCAGAGGTAAACGCCTGGTTTTTGCTTCACATGGACAAACATTCCGTTAAAGTGATTTTTAACTAGGACCCAGGTCAAATCCATTCATTCAGGGAAAACACTAGCAGAAGTCCCAATAAACCTGAACTAGTCCCAGGATAAAAATATGCCATAAGGGTAGAACTGCTAAGATGTCCTTAGAAATGTTTCCATGGGTGGACAGATTCTGATGGAGCATCCATTATGCCAACTCCAATAGAAGATTCCACCCCTTTCAGCTCGTTTTCCCAAGGACCGCCTCTGCCCACTCCTCAGTACACATTACTCTGGGAACAAGAAAGGAGGGATGAAAGCCAGCAGTGGCAGGGGAGAGAGCTGAGTTTGCGTCTACTCTGGGAGATTACAAGAGAGACATCTTCACCCCGCAGGCATGGAGGCTACTGGGTGCAGGCACTGAATTTGAAGCAGAGAGGTGGGACCAGGTTACTTGATAATTACCACTGTTAAAACTTCAAGACTTAGCTCAGAGGGAAATGAGTTACAATGCTGTCTTGTCTAAGGGCTACTCACTTCTTTTTAAAGAGCTTGCGGAAGGAGCTGCGAAAGCCCCCTTTCTGGTCTTGCCTGGGATTCTGATCGCTGAAAGATGTTTGTTCACTTTCTCTTTCATCCTTTGGACAGAAGCGGGTAGCATCTTCTAAATGCATTTCCTGAAAATACAAAAGAGAGATGGTTTTTCACTCTTTTCCCAAAATATCTACCCTAACTGTTGGAGTTTTTTTTAGCTTTGTCACTTTCCTCTCCTATCCCAAAAAACTATCAGTGGCACCTAATCCCAACTAAAGCAAACCTATACTAATAAAAAACAATTAGTAGGTGGAAGAGGAGCATTTTCTGCCAAGTGTTGTATTTTCTGTGTATCAAGGAAATAGTCTGGGGTAGGATATGACACAACAATAAAGATAAGGAAGCAATGGAATTTGAAAAAATTACAGAAAGTAAATTCTTATTCTGGCTCCAAAACTGTCCCTTCGTATCTCTAGATATGTTCCTCTTTTTATAAGATAAAAATTTTTAATTGTAACTGTAACAATAATTTTAAGCTTATTTTTAACTCCATTTTAGGCATATGAGGGAAGTTTTGTGAGAAGCCAGGAGTGGTGGTACACACGCACAATCCCAGCACTCAGGGGGCGGAGGCAGGGGAATTGCCATGCATTGGAGGCCAGCTTGAGCTATGTAATGAGTTCAAAGGCAGCCTGAACCATACAGCAAGACCTTGTCTCAAAAAAAATTTTTTTTGAGAGGTCAGAAATGTTTAGGAGTAAATGTCACCTAGTATTTCCAAACTATAAATGTGCCTTTAATATAACCTTTGTAATTCATAATCCATATTTGGAGAATAAGATAAAAAATAAAGATGTATCTTTTATGCACCCTTTAGTTTCTTTTTAAATGTGAGCTATGCCAATAGATATGCATATTTACATGCCTACAAACTATAGAGAGATGCACAGTTACAAGCCTACCAGCTAAATATACATATATATATTTATATTCTATATGAATGAAATATTTACCTTGAGGTGACTGTAATTTAAAGCCAAAACTAGCTGCTTAATTTTGAATAACCTTAAGAACACCCAAGGAGACAAAGCAGGGAATGCTTTGAAAAATCTCATGAATTGAATGGGTAACTGCTTGTTGATAGAAAAGCAAAGTGCAGAAATGAATTATTTTCAGTACTTTGAGAATTTAAATTGGGTTACAGTAGCAGATTGAGAAATCCTGAGATTCTGTTAAAACTCACAAACCAGGGGCTGGGGATTTAGCTCAGTGGCATAAGCGCCTGCCTTGCAAGTGCATGGTCACGAGTTCAATACCTGGTACCAATTAAAAAAAAAAAAACTCACAAACCACAGAGATCAGTATCTTTACAGCACAGTGCATTGTTTCTCAAAGTATAGACCTGGGACTACAGGATCAGCTAAAGCTTTTATTTAAAATGTGGATTCTGAGCCTATCGAGGTACCCACACCTTTAATCCCAGCACTCAAAAGGCTGAGGCAGGCAGATAGCTGTGAGTTCAAAGCCAACCTGGGCTACATAAGCAAGTTCAAGGTCAGCCTGGCCTACACAGCAAAACCCTGTCTCAAAAAAAAAAAAAAAGAAAAAGAAAATGTAGATTCCTGCCACACATGGCAGAACATACTTATAGTCCCAGCTATTACAGAGGCAGAAGTAGACGATCACTTGAGCCCAAGAGTTTGAAACCAGCCTGGATAACATCATAAGACCGTGTCTCAAAAATATAAATAAAAATAAGTAAAATTCCTGAAATAAACCCCAGACTTTTGGAATCAAAATCTTTGAAGCTTCAGGAATTCTTATACACATTTAGATATGAAAAAGAATGGTTCTGTTCACCTGTATATAATGTTTACATGAATCACCTAAGTATGAATCCTAAATTGCAATTTCTGACTCAACATCTGACTACAAATTCTATGTTTGTAAGAAATTTTCAGATAATGTATTCACTAATGGCTCAAGGACCACATTTTGAGAAATGGGATTTCATGGGCTAAAAAGGCAAATGCCTGATAAGTGATGTTTCATACAAGGACTTACAACTGCAGGACCACAAGTGAAAATGCCTTGGTTTTGCTTCCTATGGAGTACGGAAATGCCAGTAAAGTAATTTTTAACTGCTACCCAAAACAAATTATTTATTCAGGTAAACTAAATCTATTAACTGTTTCATGAAAATCTTTCTGTGGAACTGTACCTTAAAAAAACCTTGCATCTGTATAGTATTTTATAGTTTACAAAGTATATCCATAAACTTTACCTCATTTGGCCTGATTGTCATAACTCCCATGTGAGGTAAGGTAAACATTATTTTTATAATTTAAGAAAACTGGAAACACAGAGAAGCCAAGTTAGATGCTCTTTATACTAATATCTTTTTTTTCCACTCATGTGTCTTCTTCACACTCCACTAAGACCTAGGCCAGTGATGGCAAAATTTTAGCGCTTTCAATGATACAAACAGCCCACTGCAGCACGTGGGCCATAGATTGGCCCCCACTGACCTAGGTTCCAGCTGGCTCTCCTAGACAGAGGCAGGAGATGCAAAGTACATTTGAAGAGAGAAAATAGGAGTTCTGCACATCTCAAAAGCCAAAAGAATGGCTTTAAAAATAGAGCTTTGAAGAATTTGTCTTTTACAACTACAATCACCATCCTGCTCCCACATCAAACACACTCATATACACCTATGCACACACAGAAACATGCATGCATGCACATATGCATGGCAGATACACACCCACAGCAGCCTATCCACCTACACTCTGCACTGTCTCTCTGCGACACCCAACAAGCCCACCCTTCTGAGTTTTAAGGAAGAAAAATGTTGTCCAAAACCAAAAGCAAGGGATATTTTGTTTGCATACTTGAAAATTTGCTATGTACCGTGCTACAAAAAAGGCCCTTTTAAACTGACTTCCACTTCATACTTCTTCTATCTCTTTCTGAATTGACTCATGTCTACAGTATTAGGGAGTAAAACCTGACAGCCAGTATGTGTTTCAGTTCCTAGTAAATTATTTATTGCTATTGGGCGTGTCTGGTAAATGGCCATAGATGTATTAATAATTGTTTATTTCTTTGATAGACATGTATTACTTGTTATTTCAAATGGCTTTTTGTTTGTTTTGTATTACTGAGACAGGGTTTCAGTATGTAGTTCAGCTGACCTTGAGCTTACTTTATAGCCCAGGCTGGTCTCCAACTAACAACAATTTTCCTGCCTCAGCCTCCTGAGTGCTGGAATTATAGGCCTGTGCCACCATACCTGCCTACCGATGAATGATTTTTGCCTGGCGACTGCTGAACTTCCAGATTTCAAACATCAACTAGAAAAACAGACATTTTTTGAAACATATAAAATAAAAGCATTCTTTATAGCACTGACTATAAAGCACTGACTTTACTTATATAGCACTGACTTTACTTAACTGTAAAGTTAAAAGGCTCTGCCCATCCAAATTACTTTAGATGGGCACTATTCTATTTGCCTTTTTATGAACTTTTAAACTGTGACACACGCTTAATGTTGATTTGTTCAAGAAATTTTAACACATAGCATTTTATAAGTTGGGAACTGAAAAAATCAGAGCCAGAAAAAAATTGGAGAACCTTAATCAACCCTATAAACTTTACGTGAACACACTATTTTGGTTTTTCCCTGTCTTGGTACCAGACATAAGAGTATTTTGATTCCTGGAGTCTGAGCAGGCAGCAACTACTCATGACCAGCCCTTTCCTGTCCCTCTGGCCTAATTTCCACCTTTCCCACCTAGCACAGCATGCCAAAAAAAAAAAAAAAAAAAAAAAAAAAAGCACCCCCCTGTTGTTTGGTGGGCAGGAGTCTTTTTCATGTTTCAGTACATGGTTCTTGCCCCAGCCAATTTCTAGGCACCTTTCAAAATCTAATTTATACATTCAGTAAGTGCAGGTTTTTATTAATGATTTTTCCAGACAAAACTTAATCAGGCCTTCTCTGACCACCATCACCCCAAGAGGTTTCAAGTACAACTATGGTTTTCCATAGTTTTGTTACAATCCTGTATTTCTGTGTTTCCTACATGTACTAAACTAGTCCTAGAGGACAGATTTCTGAATCCTCAACAATTAGCACAAGGCTGTCACAGGCAGATCTGAAAACAGCAGGTAGGATGGAAAGGTGGTGGCACAAGTAAGTCCTCTTGCTTTCTACTTAAACAGAAATCGCCTTTGTTTCAATTACATTCACTCAATATGTCCTTTTCATAAAGACATACTTAAATGCCTCTTTAAATGCCACGAGGCTTGCAGACAAACATCAGAATGCTCAACATTCACTGAGGCCAAGGATAGTGTCTTTAGGTCAATGTTGCTTTGACTATTATGGGTTATCCTCATCCCAATGGAGGTACAGTCCAAAGGAGACTGGGCAGGAATGATTTGACTTTGCGGCAAACTTCACCGTCTATATTGAGACAGAGCAGCCTGGGAGTGCGGGTGGAGTGGGCCGGCACAGGGTTGGTCACTTTCAACACTGAAAACAAAAAGGGGCCACCTAACAGGCAAGAGAAGAAACACAAGCGTGGAGTTTCTCGGAGGAACCTGAAACAAGTGTAACTCTGAAACCTGCCTGGGAGTGCAGTACGCGGGGGCGGGAGGGGCCCCGAAGGGGCGAAAAGGAGCGAATGAATGGCTGTGTGACAGACAGAGCCTGGCTCAGAAGTGAAGAGCGCCTTCTCTGGCTCCGAACGTGTCCCCGTGTAACCTGAACTCCGCCTTGGTCCTGTCCAGCGCGCCCCCAAAGGCCACTGAGGCGCGACCCCGTGAGGGGCGGGCGCGCGCTTGCCCCATCCCCGGCTCCCGCCCCGCCCCCGCCCGCCCTCCTCGCTAGGTGAAGTCGGGTCACCCCTGCAGATCTAGGCCCCGGGGCCGCCGTTGTTGCGGGCTTCGGTTCGGTGTTACTTTACCCTCCTTACTTCCAAATACGTCTGTTTTTCGCTTTGGGATCTCTGTTGGGGGAAGAAGGTTCGCGGCGTACCGCGGGCGGAGGCGGCGGCGGCGGCCGGGCCATGCGCCTGCGCCGTGCGCTCTGCCTTGAGCGGCGCGCGGCCGCCGCTGCTGCTGCGCGTGCTGTACAGGCGTGGGGCCACGCCCTCAGCGGGCGGCGCGCGCGGGAACTCCTTGAGCGAGCGGCTCAGCGGCTTGGCCTTGCCGTGCGCCTGCGCCTGCGCCTGCGCCGTCGCCTCCAGCTTGTAAACGCCGGTGCTGCTCGCCGGGGATGTGGCGCTTTTGGGCAGCGGCTGCAGTGGGTGTTCTGGCCGCTCGGCCTCCATGGCGAAGCTGACGGGCCGCAGGAAACAGATGTCTAGGCTGGACTCAGAAGAGGCAGGCGAGCAGTTCTCAAAGAGGGCCGGAGCCTGGAAGGGCTCCTCGTCGTAGGGCGCAGGGAGCGCGAAGATTTCGCCGCCGTACTCGAACTCCTCGTAGCCCGCCGGCAAGAAGCCGCGGGCGTCAGGCAGGAGCTCGGCCGGGCCGCGCAGCGAGCGCTCCACGTTGCTCAGCGGCTCGGCCGGCGAGGGCTCGAACTCCATCTCCGGGATAGCCTGCAGCGGCCCGGGGAGCGACTTCACGTCCTGCTCTGCCGCGCAGAACTGCGCCGGGGCCAGCAGGCTTTCGGGCCTCTCGTGCTTCCTGCCCTCCATCTCCCAGTCACTGGGCTTCCCAGGCTGCATGCTCTCCATCAGGCTCTGCTGCTGTTGGCTTTTCTTCACCGGGGCCATCAGATGTCTTTAGAGGGAAAGCAATACAAAGGCGGTCTACTTACTATTTATTAGTGCTGGGCTCCCTCCAAGTTTTGGAGGCCCAAAGCATACATTCCTAGATGAAGTAAATGTGGCACACCTTTAACTGTTGAATCAGAATGATGGTAGACTGTACGGGGTTCACTGTATGGGGTGCATTGTACTCGTGTAAATTTAAATTTGTCATAATAAAATCTCAAAATTTTGTGGCCATATAGCATGCTTTATAAGTCAAACGTCTGCCCACAGAGGGTTCATAGGATGTAAAAGCTGGCCCTCTGAATGTACCTAGTTTTCATGGAATGTTTTTTTTTTATTTGGGAGGATCACGGACAGCAAATACATACTTTACAAAGTAGCATAGTATACCTGTCAGGTGGGGATTTGTCAGTTTTGCTGTAACTACCAGGCCGATTTAAATGGGCCATTGCACAGTGAGTCTGGTTATTCTGCTAGTCTAGTCATGTTTAAATTGTATTTCAGAAACATAAATACAGATATAAATGTTAATGATTATCTTAGTGACTTTATAATGAAAATTAGGTCCCACATTTACAGATATAAAAAGAAATAGATGAAATATTGACCTAACTCCCAATTTTCTTTTGCCTTAAAAATTGCTACTGAATTTTATTTTACCTGTACAGAGTGTAAAGGCAGTCATGTCATGATTAGCCAGTCTGGGTATGATCTCTAAAAGTTGCAATTTTTGACTTTATTTGTTGCAATTCGAGGATAATAATGTTCTGCCACTATTTTAAGAGTTGATGCTCCAGAGTAAATTTGCACTTTCTACATCTATGGCCCGTCTCTAAGCCTGCCCTTACTATTAATGCCTTCCTCTGGGATCCAAGCATCTGGTCTATTGCTTGGCTGTCTCACATAGGCCTGATGGGAAAAGGGAAAGGAGCAGGTCAATAGATCATACTCCTAATCCAGGCCCACCTGCTAACCCACAAACCACCCGGGACCCAGGCACATTGCCATTAATCTTTCCACAGCAACAGATGCTTACGTGACAGCAGGGCCAGAACTGGGAGCAGAAGGGTAGGGTTGCAGCATCTCTTCTGAGTGGATCCCACTGTCACGGACAGCCTCTGGACCTGCAGTGGGGGAAGCATCTTGGCCAGCATTTGCACACTGGGAAGCCAGCCCTTTGTACAGCTTTGCCATGGATGACCTAAAAGAATGGAAATAATCATTCTGTGGTTATACAGTGGGAAACTGGCTCTCTGCATACAAACATTAGGCCAAGAAAAAAAGTCATCTCTTAGATGTGAAGGTTTGGGGTCTCTACAGCTAAGTTGCTTACATAATAGTGTATAAGCTGGCAGTTGAACGGAAGTAAGGATGTTAATTAACTAGCTGAAAATGGCATGGGATCACAGAATAGTATGGAAAGACATCTATTAGAAGAGTCATTCATGGCTTGGGAGAAAGCGTCCGAAACCCTGGCAAATGATTCTGTTACAGTGAGATTGAAGGAAATCCAAATCATTAGGAAGCTGTGCTATGAATTGCTTCTGATTGTTCTGAAACCCAGATGCTCCCTAATCAAATCTTGTTTCTTCATAGTGTGAGATCTATTCAAACTCTGACACTTGTTTTACTCCTAGTAATTACTGACATCTAATTTATTTGTTCAACATCCAGGTCTAAAAAGTAAACTCCAAGGCAGGGATGTCTGACTATTTCATTCATTGCATTACATTCAATGTATGAGACATGTTATGGTTTATGGCTACATGCCCCCGCCCCCCGCAAAGCTTCATACAGTCATGGGGACAAGCTTCTAGAGTTTGAGAATGATGTGTGGTCCAGTGCTGGAATTATGGGTGTGAGTGCTACACCCTCCCTCAGGTGGTAGTTTACATATGATATAAGGGAAGAGAAAGAGGCTAGCTCTCTCTGTGCTCTTCCCTGTTTACTGTTGTTGCTTTTGCTGTCTTTTGCAGCCATAAACTGTTGCCCTCTGCTATGTGCCACCCTGCCTTGGAGCCAGCTGGTTATGTACGAAGCCTCCACAAACTGTGAACTAAATAAACCTTTCCTTCCTTAATTTTGGGTGTCAGGTATTTTGTCCCAGCAATGAGAGAAAAGTAACCAACACAGGACAGTGCCTGACACACAACAGGTGCTCAATAAAAGATTAATGAAAGAAACAATTCTGACTGTTAAGTGGCAATTTTAAACCTGGAAAAGTTTAGGGAAACAGTATTTTTGAGGTGGCAACAATATAAGAGAGGGCATTAGAATGAAAATACTATTTTTCTAATTTCCAGCACTATGAGATATCTCTGCCTGTAGTCAGCCTGCCCTCCTCTCTTCCCTTCTCTCTTCCCTTCTACTTCCCAACTCTGTTTCAGCCACTTAACACGCAATGCAGACACCCACATTGACTGCTTTATATCTTGGTTCTCAGAAGCCTTTGGCACACACGCTTTAGAGTACACCATCAGAACCTTACTTCTTGAGCTTTTTCCGTTTCTGAATAAGCAAATCCTCGTTGCATTGAAACAACAGGGTGTAGTGTGAGATAAATACTCGGAGGCGCTGAACGCACACCAGTAGTAGGTAATAGTCAGGGTGTTCCTGCTCTGTGAACTTCAGGACATTCTGGACAGGAAGGAAAAGAAAGCTGCATTACATAATTAGAATAAAAAGTTTTCTATCTTCTGCCCTTACCATGATCTATTGTAAGTTTAGTAGCCATTTAAAACAACAGACAACAATGCATATGGCTCATCTAATAAGCTGAAAGGTCAAACTTGCTAGTCTCTGTCCATCACACCAAGGCAAAATAAGTCATTGCTATTACTGTTTGTGTTGAGTGTAAACATAATTCCACTTCAAAAGGTAGAAAGGTCTAGTTAGATCTTGAAATTAACGAAAGCATTCTAGCAATTAGTCTGTAAGCAGTGCCTTAAATAAGTCAGATTAATGATGAGAATGTCAGGCATGAAGCCTATCTGATGGGAGTGGCTTCTGGGTTGGCAATTATGATCCAGCTTGGCCTGTGGCCTCCCTAAGGTATTACTTTACCTGCTGCTATGGTTTGGATACTGTTAGGGTCATGGTCCCAAAGGTTGATGTGATGGAAACTTGGTCTGCAATGTAATGGTGCTGAGAGGTGGTGGGACCTTTGAGAGGTAGGAAAAAAGGCAATGTCCCTGGCTGATGACCACTCTCTTAAAGGAATTAATGTTGGTCTTACAGAGTGGGTTAGCTCCTGTGAAAATGAGTTGTTATTTAAAAAAAAAATAGCCTGCTCATTCTCCTCTCTCTTGCTTCTTTCCTTATGCTATGTGACCTATTTTTCTTACACAGACTCCTACCATGTGATACTACCTACCATGAGACCTTCACTAAAAAGCCAGTGCCAGCACTGTCCTTTTTTACTTTAAAAAGCATGAGCCAAAATAAACTTTTTAAAATAAAATATCCAGCCTCAGGTATTTTGCTGTAGTAACATAAAATGGACTGAAATACTTACAGTAGAATATGTGTGTGACTTGGATTTGTGAAAGCTAACATTTGTGGATTTGTGAAAGCTTAACATTTATTAAACACTTCCTGTTGCCTCATTGCCCTATTTAATTTTTACCACAACCCTATTACATAGGTACCGTTGAGCCAGGCTTGGTGGCTCACACTTGTAATCCCAGCACTTGGGAACTTGAGGTAGAAGGATTGTTATGAGTTTGAGACCAGCCTGGGCTACAAAGTGAGCTCAAGGTCTGCCCAGACTGCATAGAGAAACTCTATCTTAAAAAAAAGACCAAAAAAATCGGTACAGTTGTTACATATATTTAACAAATAAAGAAACCGAGGTACAGAGAAATTAAGAGATCTTTCCTAGATCATACATCTAGTAAGTAAAAGAACCAGAGCTTGAGCAAATGCTTTTAGTACCTAAAGCCACATGTGCTTAAAAATCTCAATATTAGGGGCTGGGGATTTAGCTCAGCGGCATAAGCGCCTGCCTTACAAGCAGGCAGTTGTGAGTTCGATCCCTGGTATCGATAAAAACGAAAAAGACAAAAAAAAAATCTCAATATTGACATCGGGCTGCTTTTACCTGAAATGAAATTACAAGCATTTATAAAATGCCTTCACAGCACTACTTAAGATCATTCAACAAACCAGAACAGGTAGATGATGGTAAGAAAAGGGCTAGTAAGAGGTTGTCAGGTCTCTCAGCTCTAGTTCCTTCAAGCTGCTCCAAGGCCTGGGGGAAAATGGTGTGGCATCAGCCCATCAGCTTCTTCACGCTTCTACTGTGAAAGTGTAAGTATTGTAAAGTAGAGCTTGGGACTCAAGCCAGGTAAAAGTAACTAGCATAGCAAGTAAGTGGACAGGTTAGATAGACATTTCGATACCAGAAAGTCACAGATGGCTGTAGAATCAAGGTGAAAGAGACTGAATAAGGTGCTTGGAAACTAGTGGGAGTGCTTATAGAAACATCTTGGACCACCAGAGGCTCAAGGCAGACATCCTGAGTCTCCATGTTTGGACATGGAGATTTTTAGCTCATACTATAGGAATACCCATAATTGGGTATGGGATAATCATATGCACATCTTAGAAATATTAATAGTTTCTTGAAGCCTTTACTATATTTTTACATTAAAAATGAAAAGATAGTTCAGTATAAAAATCAACTTGATGGCTTGTCCAGCCACACCTACCTGTAGATGTATCAGGTATTCAGGAATGCGTTGGACTATGTGAAAAAATAGTGTGTAGATATCAGATTTAATCTCTTCATCACCCTGAATGAAAGAAATGTGGAGTCATTCTGTGCCCCTCCCACTCTGGCGGCAGAATCCCAGAGTCAGTCCCCCAGAGTAGGAAAAGTTTATTTTCAAAGCATTTTCTTCCCAGAGATTGACATCAAGTGCTGACCTCTCTTTGGAGAAGCTACATGTTCAGAGATATGATCAAGGAAACAATTCTTCAGCAAAGAATAGATCATGTACTTCTTTGGAATCCACCCAAATTTCCAAAATACACTTTCTTCCCCACTCTTATCTTAGCACGGAGCTAGATAGAATTGAGCACTCGATAAATTATGTTTGAGTTGAGTAAATTCATAAAGATTGTCTAGGAAGTGATTATTACATTGGTTTACTAACAGGCTAAATGGTATATATGAGTCTCAAGAGTGAGAAAGGGACTGTGATTAGCAACTAGTCGTTTGACCTGAAAGCAGAGAGCACTTTCCTCTGTGTCTTCCGTTTCCTGTTCTTCTTTCCCCTTTCCCAGACACTATGCTGGGTTGGGAGCAGGGGTACACTGAAACAGAAATTTAGTAAAACAGAGCCACTTGTCTCCTGTGTTACTAATTAGCTCTCAGATTTGTGGCTTTCATTACTGTTTTCTTGTATTGACCTAAAATAACTAGTTGGGAACGTGGCTCGGTGTTAGAGCTTAGTCTGTGTGAAACTTTGAGTTCAATCCCCAGTGCCACTGGGTGGGGGGAATCAGAACTGTTATATATGTATCACCAGCTTATGAAGTATATAATGTAATCGCTGCAGTGGCATGGATTAAAACAGTATGCCTAGAGCTGCTTTACAACCTTATAAATTGGCCAAATTAATATTGCGAGTCATATTTTCTGAGCCTAAACACCCCACCACCACTACATATGCTGCATACAAGTTGCAGCCTAAGGAGCTCTGCTTACAACATTGATTTGCTTTGCCTGTGGTTCCAATGGAGTGGAACAAAGTCAAGCCAGGCAAGCATCAAAGCAACAACATGAGCCTTGCATGGACTTCTTACCCCCAAAAAAGGGCACCAGTGGCTCTGTTAAAGTCATTCCTCAGCCTGAAAAATAAGCTCAGAGAGCCTGACAGGATGCATGAACAACATATATAGATGACATGTATGAACAGGATAGCACATAAAGTTAACGTACCTCCTTCAGAACAACTACGTGAACCAATGAGATGCATTCAGGCAAATCCCTCAGATAGGCAACATAATAATCCAAGAAATTATTCTTTAAAACAAAGACAAAAGTATATGGTAAGAACCTGGAAACAGGAATCACAATATTTTTTACAGAGTTATGTGTATCAAAAAGGAATGCTTTGCAGAGATTTTTCTCAATGAACTTTAAACTATGTCCTTTAATACATTTTGACAGCTTTTATTCATCTTTTAAAAAATCTTTTTAGTTGGGGGCTGAGGATTTAGCTCAGTGGCATAAGCGCCTGCCTTGCAAGCCTGTGGTCGTGAGTTTGATCCCTGGTACCGTTAAAAATACAAAAAAAAAATCTTTTTAGTTTTAAGATTAATATCACAATCACTTGAAAAGCAAAACTCAAGAGCCCTACTTTAATGACAGTAAAATAGTAAACCATGGGATTAATGAGGGTCATGAAAAGTGAAAAAGTATTGTTAAATTATAAAATTGCATGCTTTGTTTTTGCAATTCCTTTTCCTTTTAATCCTCTACATCTAAATGAGAAACTTTGGGCCAGGGATATAGCTCAGCGGCACAGCACCTGCCTGGAACCATAAGATCCTGAGTTTGATTCCTGGTACCAAAAAAAAAAGATAGGAACATAACCCAATTTGCCTTTTAATATGTACTGATATATGTTTCTCAATGCATAATAGCATATTTCAACTAATTGTGTATTCACTTCTGCAATTTCCCTTCAAGAAACTACCTCATAGCTTCCAAAGTTTTATTCCCATAGTAATAATGTTTAGCTCCTGAAAGCATACTGAATACAAATGAACTAAAGTAATATCAGACATCACATCCACTTTCTTCTATACAAATCAATTTTGTATCATTACCTACATTTGAAATGTGAATTAATGTAGTACTGAGGATCAAACCCAGTGCCTCATGTGTGGTAGTCAAGCGCTACACCACCAAACTACACCTCCAGTCCTGTTAATCATATTTGAGCATCACTGATATACGGATGTTGATTACAGGTAAAAACCAGCTTGCAGACCGATTTCAATTGTCCCACATAGAATTTTACAAATAAAGAAATTAGATACAAAAGTCTGGGCTCCCTGCTTTCTCTTAAAATAGTGCTGGCAACTCCAGAGTCTTTTCATAAAGAAATCGATAAAGCTGAGTAGCTGTTCTTTGTAGCAAGCTATGTGTCCTCCACTTCAGCATAATTGCCACCAGTGGACACCGCATTAGGCTCACTTCACTTCATTTGTGTCACTAGCTGGCCCTGCAGACATTTGAGTTTGCAACTTCTGGCTTCAATCATCTTTTCTTTTCTTTCTTTCTTTTTTTATCTTTCTGAGACAGGGTTTCATTATGCAGTTCAGGCTGGCCTTAAACTCACTTTGTAGCCCAGGCTGGTCTCGAACTTGCAATGCTTCTCCAGCCTTGGCTTCCTGAGTGCTAGGATTACAGGCACACACCCAGCAATCATATTTTCATCATAGAAAACTTAGCACCCTTTCTCCAAGAAAGTAAAAACAAAAGACATAGCTACCTATCAATTTTTTTAAATTTCTAAGGACTGAAAATCACATATAAAAATATATACACATTTATATACCCTATATGTATACCAATACGGATAGATGTGCATGAGTATGTGTATATACATATATATACACACATATATAAACACACACACATAAATATATATGCACACATGCTTATTCAGTGAAGGCAATTATAGTACAGTATAAAGCTGGGAGCAAAAGTTGAAAGACTTAACAGGGTCCTGTTCACAGATATCTAAGTGCTTAGAAGGCTGCATGATTTCAGCAAAGCCTTTAAATATCTTACGTTTGCAACTGTAGAACAGGGAGGCTAGCCTAGATCTCAGTGGCTCTATCTCTGAAATTCACTGTTTCTAGTTTCTTCATTAAGAGAAACAGATGAGTGACCCTCAGGTGCATAAAATTCAAGTTTACAGAAGGAAGGAAAAACCATCTTACTTCATCATTTGTTAACTTAAGGAACAAGTCTCCAAGGACTCCTTGGCGCGGCCATTTCAGGACTCTTTCCTGCAGTGCATGAAGCAAATCCAGGTGCTGCTGGACGAGGTACCGTAGAGAGCCAGGAAAGAGGCTTGAAACAGAACACAGAAAGAATCACACAAACCAGGAAGGCCTCGCAGGAATACAAACAGCAGGTTCCACTTTTGCAGTCATTCAAAATACTCATGAATCACAGGTCTGCACTTAGGATCTTTTTCCTTCGTATTTGTATTTCTATTTTTTTCCCTTCTCTGCAATACTGGAACACAAACACAGGGCTTCCCGCAGGCTAGGCAGGCACTGAGCTACACCCTCATCCCTTTTTCCATCTATTTATTTTGAGACAGATTTTCACCAAGTTGCTCAGGCTGGTCTCCAACCTGTGATCTTCCTGCCGCTGCCTCCAAGTATGCCCCGCTTGCATTTAGGATTTTTTTTTTAATTGTCTCTGTAGATCTCACAACAAATATCCTCAGTTTATAAAATGACTGCTTTCCTGATAGCCCCTTTACAAGTGTGTATTAAACAAACAGAGTACAATCACTTGTCTGACCACTGTAAAGCTAACTTGTTATGCTCCCACTTAACGTTACAGCCAGTAGAATTCCAAGGGAAATCTTTTTCAATGTCTTAGAATTATTCCAGTTTGATGTGTATGTTATTCTAATCGGTGTGGTAGATGATCGCATTTACAGTGATGGTTGGTTTTTCTTAGCTGTCAGGTAGGAGATGGCTACTTAAGGTAAGTAGGAAAAACTGTTCATAGTTGACCACTAGCAGCTCAAGACATTAGGGACAAGTGAAAGGGTTTCTTTTCTCTTTCTTCAAAGAGACATAATGGGCAACAACTGAGTTTTGTGTACAGATCAGGGATGGCCTGCTGCTCTCTGGGGTTTACAGAACTCCTTTCCTACCCTGAAATCCTAAAATCCTGAAATCCTTCTTTTCTTCTCTTGTGTGTGTGTGTGTGTGTGTGTGTGTGTGTGTGTGTGTGTTTTAAATTTTATTGGTATATTTTAGTACACATAATGGTAACATTCATCACTCTCTTCTGCTTCTTAAAGTGACCCATTTTTTCCCAGAGAAAATGAAGGGAGGAAGGGAGAAACCACAGAAGGGTGTAACGGAGAAGAGAACTATGAAGAGAACCCCAGGAAAAAGGAGGAGGGACCTGGATGGACAGGAGTGGAGTGACCAGGGGCCTACAGGATCTTACAGAAATGAGGATCTAAACTGGTGACGGGAACCTTTCAGAGCTTTCTGTGATACAGAGATCCCACTGCAATGCAGCCTGTGTGCCGTAGGTTTTCCACTCCTGATCTGAACTTGGTAACACAGGGGAACCAAAAATAGGTTCCTTTGTGCTTTTCACCAAGATAAGATGATAGCCTACTCATCACTGAGAGCTGAACTTATTTAAAAATTTAAAAATTTTGCTAGGGTTTAGTGGGCCAGAGAGTTATGGGTTTGGAAGATATGCAACTCCTATAGGTAGAGTTATGAGCTTGGAAGATCTAAGTAATCCCCTTTTAGACCAGAGGGGAATTTGGAGGGGTGAGTAGGAGACACGTGGACAAGGACAAAACCAGTACAGATGATTGTACTGAAAAAACAAAACACAGCATCAGCAAAAGACCTAGTGTAAAGATTTCTTCCTACCCAAAGGCTACAAATAACTTTGGGTAATATTTCTGGTATGTCCTGAATGAAGGCAGGGATCTTTTTGGTGAGATCTAATATTGTGATGGGTTGTCCATATAAATTCAGGAATGTGTCTTGGATTGTCTGCCCTCTTTCTTTTTCTTTCTAGAAAACTTCCTTCTGCTACACCACGACCAACATACTCGAAAAGTTGGAGAACTAGTACCAGCGTCCTCCTGGATGGCCCCGGGGGGTAATGAGATTTCAGAGTGAGGTTGGAGAGAGCTAATATTCACATCAATTATTATGGAAACAGGTCAGGGGATTTAGCTCAGGGGCATAAGTGCCTGGTAAGCACAAGGTCATGAGTTTGATCTGTAGTACCCCCCCCCATTATGGAAACTCAAAAGCTAAATAAAGAGCAAGGACCTATGAAGGTTGTATACCAAACATTGAAAACACTTTATAAATAATTTAACAAGGATAGTATTTGAAATCAGTGATGAATATAGTGTTGAGCCAGGAGATGAACAGCAAAGGGGCAAAGAAGCAAACACTGTGGACATAGCTAATCTGTTTCACTGCTTTGCCAGACCTGACTCCCAGGAGCAACTTCTACATGAAGACAAAGTACTGAATGCTGAGCTTGTTTTCTATTCCTTACCAGGAGTAAAATTATGACTGTATGAGTAATGTGTTCCTTCTAGAGCCTTGAAAGTTATTTCAACCCCCAACAAAATAGTATTTAGATGGTGATGGAAATAAACTAAAAGTAATCAGGGAAAATCCAGTTAGAGTTTGAAATTAATAAATTCACTCTTGCTATTATATAAAAATAACTGCTGGGCTTGCACAGAAGGTTACAACTGTCTCAGATGCGCGTGGATGGTTACATATGTGCCATCTAGTGGGGATTTGTAGCACTGAGTTTATTGTGTGGATGTGTCACTGCAGTTTGGTTTATCAAGCTAAATAAATAGCAATCTTCCCCACAAGTATATAGACAGGAATGCTTGATCTGAAGGGTATGTGTCTGTCTAGGTGAGTCAGATCCAAAACAAGCCCAGAACTTCAATGCTTGCGATCTTTCACCAATGAACCATAGCCCCCAGATTCTGCCCAGGTTTGCAGCTGGCCACATGTGCCCTTCAACTTCCAGCCCATCCAACCTGTGACAGAGCTGACTTGAAATAGGCTGAGGAGGCTCTTGAGAAATTCACCTTTTTCTCAGGGAAAATCTAAAGTTTTATAAGTTTGACCTGGTTTGAGCGTCGAGGGATAGTTGTCAGAGGTATTATCTGTTAATAACTTTTCAGCAGAGCAGAGAGTGTGGAAGTCTGGCAGTTTGTAATGGGAAAAGTAATACATATTACTAAATTTGTTTTCATCTTTGGATAAATAAAAGTATCAACGGGGGCTGGGGATTTAGCTCAGCGGCATAAGCACCTGCCTTGCAAGCAGGCGGTCGTGAGTTCGATCCCGGGTACCGATAAAAAGTTAAAAAAAAAAGTATCAAAAGGCCTGTTTCAAGTACACAGAGAGGGCTGGGGGTTTAGCTCAGCAGCATAAGCACCTGCCTAACAAGCATAAAGCCATGAGTTCGATCCCTGGTACCAAAAAAATAAAGTACATGGAGATTTTAACAAATCTTATAAAAAAAACTAAATTTGATGACTGAAGGATAATTAGAAGTGGAAACAACATCAAGCTCAGAACAAGAGTTTGTTTTTTAATACTAACAGTATTAAGTTGAAGCTTTTCTCTGCTTGGTTTATGAAATGAAAAAGAGAGTTAGCTTAGTAAGTAATTAACAGGAAAATTATTATCATAGATATGATAAAAAAGTTATTTTACTTTCATTGAGAATTAAATCATAGCTTTAATTTCTTTGAATTTGGGAGAGAGATCTAATCCTTTCTCAGTGGTAGGTCACAACAGAACATCAAGACAGTAGACAGTGACAGCAAGGAAAAAGAATTTGACTATACCCAGAGCTACTAACACATTTAGCATCTCATTTAACAAGTCAAATGAGATCTGAATAAGAATGTATGGGCTGTTCCAGAGATCTGAGTTTTGAAATAGAGACAAATCCATGCTTCTTGTCAGAGAAACTATATTGCTGTTGGTCGAGGTGCCTGTTATATAAAACTTATACTTAATATACTAGATGGATACTATAATATAGTAGAAACTATTATTGATATCTAAGTTGGGAGGCATGTTACAGGCAGTCCGACAGGTTTAGGACCATGAAGGAGTCAGTGCAGAGGATGAGAGCACATTAGAGCTGTGGTTGGAGGTGCATCTATTGAAGGCCACGCCTCAAGATAAAGATGGATTGACCAGGCTTGCATGCCTCCACAAGGCATAAGCAATAAATTAAATATTATACTACACTTGGTATCACCTGATCCAATAAAGTCTAGTAGACACCAGTCACCCCAGTGGATGTCCAGGACTCCCTGATTCATCTCTTCCTAAGAAGGTATTTGTTCTTTCCATGCATGCTTGCTACCCTACTGGATCAGTATTACCTAAGCAGCTATCCTTGCAATCTTAGTGGCTGATCATAGTTTTGACCCACATTGTATCCACCGCATGATTTCTGTCTATAAAACTTCATCTGTGAGGTGGGTTCTATTGCAACCACTTTCAGGTCCCCTCCTGTCTCTCAGGAACTGTCTCTCTCCATAAACATTTCCCTACTCTTAACCTCTATAGTTCACTAGGATACATTCTTCAATCTGGGGGAAGGTGAACTCAGTGGATCTGACTTCCAGCAATTTGGGGGTTGTACTTAATACTCCCTGTGTCATTTGGTGGCCTCAGCAAATCACTGCAAGGAGGTAAGAGCTTGGGTCTGTTTCATGGGTTCAGATTGTGACTTTTCAGGTAATCAGAAATTGTCATCCTTATTTGTCAATTCTTATGCCTTGAATTTTTATTCCTTGTCTTTTTTATAGTTTTTTTTTTGTTAAAAATGCTAAATTTAAGTTGAGAGCATGGGAAGATGATGATGTTTCTTTTGTCTCCATGGTCTGTATTCCTGGTTTGCATGTGCTACATTTGAATTTACCAGTTGCTGAATTTATTGGTGCTCCTTGTTAGACTTTTTTTAAATCAAGTTTATCAGTACATCTTAGATATACATAATGATCACGTTCATCACAAGGCATTTGTACCTGCGCCCGATATATTTGATTTCTCTATTTTTCTCAATCCTCTCTCCTCCCTCCAAGCCATCTTCCTGGGATCATTTTTATAGCGTTTGACTTGTTTTGACTTTTGCGATTTGTTGTCTTATCTTTGACAGCAGTGTTAGGAAAAAGTAATGTTAGAGCATCCCCTTGTGGATCTTCATACTAACCAAAATGTGAATTTATGAAATACTACAGAATGAATCTGTTGGGAGCCGCAGCCCCGAGCCCGGTCGCCTCACTTGGCGGA